CCACGTTTTCTCCTATTTACGGTAGTTTATGAGTCTTTGATCACTGGCCTCAGATACCAGCGGTTTCCCGGTGGTTGCCCTGCCTGGAATCCCAGCCTCACCGTTTCTGTTAAGGTTGGGTCACGGTGGTGCTGACTCAGTTCTCTGGTAATTATTGATGACATACTCTTGTGGTGTTCAGGATGATACTGTCCTGTCAGTCTCCGTCAGGGAGGTTCAACAGGGGCCACCCTGCTTCATAGCTGATGCAATTTCTCACACGGCTCCATCATCTCCGAGGATGTTCCCGGCGACTCAATAAATTATTTTGCAGGTTTTGAGGATGATGCACCTGCTATTCAGGCTCTGACTCTTTGGCTTATTTTTAACATCTTCATTTCCTCGCGTTCCGTTGCTGATTGGCAGACCACTTCTAAAGCTGACACACGTGTTAATAATTGGCATTCAAGTTAAAATTGGTGCCCTTTGTAGCTGTGTTTGTAATTTACGTGCTTCTGACCTAAACTCCTTTTCCGTGTAAGGTTCAGTTATATTGTCCACCCGCTGTACATTGACGACACTGAAAGCAAGTGTGTTAATGAGCATTCTGATGTCTGCGCATTGGCATTGCCTAGAAGCCAAGCCTGAATGAACATAGTGAACATATTTACAGAATAAGCACTGAAAGGATGGACAAATTCAAGATCTCGATTTAGTTTGAAGCCACCTACTGAGTGTGCTGTGAAATCTCCATTGATACCAATTTCCTTAACTGGTTCGTGACCTGCTGTGTCCATCGCTTTCTACCCTTTTAAATATTGGACTAAGCCAACAATATTTCTCATACTCAATGATGGTGTGGCACTTTGAAGAGAACAAATGTCAGCCACAGTTTGATATTAGGAGAAAAATGCTCTCCCACTCAAGTGGCCAGAGCAGTACAGCTGGCCCTCATCCTAATGAAAAGCTATTTGTCCAGGTTTTACATTCTGTTACATGACATTATGCATAAATAAAAGGTACGAAGTGATAAGAAAGAGGAAGCCTTGTTATTTAGATGCCGTGTCACCAGCACTTGACCACATTACACTGATTGGTGCAGGACGTGCCCTCAGCTCACTCCTTGATCGCAGTGTTCAGGTTGGTTTTTGGCCGCATGTCTCTGTGGCTCCAACGCTATCGTGGTGCTCAGGTCACCTGTCACCGGCCAAAGTGTGTCGTCAGGGTGACGGGATGCAGATGGAAACGGACCGAAAACACAGCATTATGCTCCCATGGCGGCTGGCATCACACACACACAGAGACAGAAGGGGGAGATATCGAGGCGGAGCGATGAAGGACACGGACCGCATCTGACGTCCATACTACTTAGCTGTAAGAGTCATGGAGACAGTTAAGGATGGTAGGGTTAGGGGAGCATGAAGGGAGGAGAGAAGCAAAGAGGGACTGATAAGAATGAGTGCGAGGGGGAGGAACAGGGGGGTAAAAGGGGGAAAATGGGGAGACATGTAACCACATCTCTGAGTTATTCTGTAGGGGAGTATGTCTCTGACACATTCCCAAAGACCATATATAGCCATATATAACAAAAAAGAAATGTGTTAAATAGACAAATAGCAACATCAGTAGTTGCTATGCCAACGAGAAAGTATACAGATGAATTGAGAAAATGCTCTTAAAAAAAGCGTTGTACAAGAAAAACGCTTATTCCTGAGAAGATGTTTTCTTCAGCAGCACAGAATGAAGGGAGTGAGGCTGATGTAAGTCTTGACGAAGGCCGTGAGCTGGATCATCAGCATGACTTCAAAGCCAACGTACTGAGCTCTCAGAAAAGCTTGAGCGAGGCGAATTCCTTGTGTGTACAGAACCTGGGACCTACACACCATCACACATGATAAACAAACACTCTCTTGGTTCAGCTGACAGTGAAACATACCTACTCAAAGATAGCTATCTAACATACTTCCATTTGAAACTTTACTCAGACAAGCTCTGTGGGATGGAGGACATGAAATATGGCCTCACAAAGTGCCGTCGTGGGTATTTTGTCCAATAAGCTGGAACAGCAATAGCTTAGACAGTCACGCCTCAGAAAAACAATAAGCTGCTAATAAGATGCTGTTAATCACAGACCCAGAGTGGCAGGAGTTTCGTCACACACGGTGACGAAAGGCCTCATTTTACACAGGTCCTGCTCCTGTAGTGTCCTCATCCACCAAGGACTGTGCGTACCTCTCCTGTAGTTCTGTAGACACTACCCACTCAATAGTCAAGTTGTAGTTGCCTTTCAGTTTGGTTTACTTTTTCTGTCAGGTAACTGTTCTGGGTTTTAACTATTGGTATTTTAATAGTACTCCCCAGACAGGCATAGATATGGTTTTGGGACTGGTCCACCACCATCCCTGCCCCAGACACTTATACTGTTAGTGTGATAACTCAAAAAGTATTGGATCTCTTTAAAACTGCAGACACATAGTTAGTGATTACATTTTGAAACAAATCTCACAAAAGCAGTGGTAACAAAGGGAAGGACAGCCTCAGATGCAGATCTGGTGAACCTGGTTACATTAAGACAAGTCACACAAAGTTGGGCTTTTAATAAACATTTTTTTTTGAGGTGTGTGTGTAGTGGAGTGAGAGATTGTAGAGGTTGGGGTGTGGGAGGAGGTGGGATTAGATGGGGGGACGGGACTAGCCAAACAGTACATTGTTGTTGTTCTGACAGCATCTAGGTTTATTTTTGATGCTGGTTAAAATATAAGTGGATTGAGTAGGGGTTCAAACTCCATTTCTGCTCTCTTTGTGTCATAGACAGGCAGATAGGCAAACTGGCATCTCTAAGTTGCCAGTCAGGGGTTTGTGTGAGTTTGTGTTTACCCAGTGACAGACTCTGATCCCGTCCAGGGTGCCTCCCTCCAGATCACCTCCAGAGTCTGCCATGACCCAGTATTGGATAAGGGGATGCAAGGATAAACAGGAGGGTCCATTGGATAAATAGATCAGATAAAACATAATGACAATACTGTGGAGATCTCTGATAAGCTCCAAGAAACACAATTTTCCCTGGTCTCCTATGCCTGGCATCCTGTGGCGTGACAGTACCGCTCATAATCTTCTGTTTATGAGCTGAAGGGATGCAGACGTCTTACCAATGAGATCCAATGAGAGGGAGAAAGCACACAATCAAATTGGGAGCAGCAGGCGACACAGCAGGATAAGCCTCCATGTATGTGATTGGAAGGTCGCTGGCAGAATAGTTACGTTGTGGTATCACATGGTTTCACGATGACCAATACTAGTACCCCCCCCCCCCCATCTTTATTTTAGTGGTACACTTAGCTCATGGAAAGGCCCTAGGGGATCTTAAAGTCGAGGAAAGAGAGGAGGCAGAGACGAACAGCCTGGAGTGACAGGAAGGTTATGTAGCTCCCTGGTGAGTGACATCAGCAGAAATCACCATCCTTATTTGCATGTGCGTTCCATCACTCATCACCTTGCAGGCCAACAGCCCCACACTCTCAGCAACCGATGTCCATTTTATGCTGCTCATTAGCTCTGCCTTCCACTGCTTCTGCCTTCCTACATTTTTCACTTCTCTCTCCAGTTCCTCTGCACATCCACGCCGCCACCCCTGGTAGCTCTTCACCTGAGCATCATTGTCCCAACAGATGACTTTAAAAAAAAAAACCAAACATTTATCACCTGCAGGAACACAAACATATTAATTGTTTTACATGACTGACAGGCATAACCTATCTGCTACCACTGGGGTACATTGGTTTGCTGCCACCTGGTGTCAGACCTCCAGAAGTGCATTGCACCCAGACAGACAAAATACATCTCATATTCAAAAAAAAAAAGGGAAATACTACAATTATAAACACAGGATGAAACAGGCAGACACACATGTTTACTAAAAAGATTTAAGTATTAGGCTCTGGAAGCCTCCTAAATAAGCACACCGGTTAAAATGCAATTGTTTGAGTACTTTTCTTTAATGAACAGAACTAAGTTCAAAGTTTTAGTCTCAAAATAATGAACATAGACAAAATGTGCAATAAAAAAAAATAAAAAAAAGAAAAATGCAAGACTGCACACTTTATGATTATGTTTGTATATAACATGGATCTATGAGCTACACAGAAACATACAGCATTTGATCAGAATTATTGTTTGGAGATGATTACTTCTGGAAATGTTCTTGCTTAACATTACTAAAGTATAACAGTATCCCTGACAAGGTCAGGAAAACAAACACCACCATCACCAGTGCCGCCTACTGACTAAGGTGTTTGCTGAACATGAAATCAGCAGTGTAATCACCCTAAAAACAACACACACTCAGCTACGTGAGCATACTGGTCTAGAAATAAATGCTTTTCAAGTGAAGACTCATGTGATGGAATCAGAAATGGGTAGGTCAAATCTGACTGATTCCTGCTGAGTGCACGCACACACACCCGCACACACCCGCACGCACGCACAAGCACACACGCACAAGCACACACGCACAAGCACACACGCACAAGCACACACGCACGTCTGCACAGACACGAACACATGCCCGCCCGCACACACACACATGCACGTATGTCCGCATGCACAGCCACACACGCACAAACACATGCACACAAACACTTGCGTGCTCGCAAAGACACATGTACACATGCGCACACACACACACTCCTGCATGCACGCATACGCACGCACACACAAGCACCCGTATGCACACACATGCATGCCCGCACACACACAAGCACTTGTATGCACACATACACACATGCCCGCACACACAAGCACCTATATGCACACACGCATACACACACACATATGCCCGCACACACAAGTACCCGTATGCACGCACGCACGCACGCACACACACACACACACACACACACACGATTTACTTAGAATTTTAATGTCAATAACAATGCAATAAACCAAAAGGCACTCCCACTCAGTAAAGACCTTCTCTAAAAATACAGTTTGCAGGAAGACACCCCCATTACGTGCTTTTTTTAAACAATGGCCTTGTAAAACGTTTTTTTTTTTTATGTAGCATTTCCTACTGTGTTCCAGTTTACAGTAACAAGTGGGCTGATGGAGATCTAATGGAATCAACTGAGGATGAAAGAAAAAAGTAAAATTAAAAAAAATAAAAATAAAAAAAAATCACAGAGCACCCGGCGGTGTATCAGGTGAGGGTTCCGAGACAAGCGTGTGTGTGTGTGTGTGTGTGTGCGTGGCAGGATGTGTCAGCAATCACGTGACCACTGGACACCAGTTAAAAGAAAAACCAGTCCCTGGAGAGATCAGCAACATGTCTTTAAGTATCAAGAGAAATTAAGTAAAATCAAACCCACTTTGAGAAGGGAGGGCTACAAGATATATACATAAAATATATACATATATACATACACACAAATCTATATATAGGCAGATGAGTTACATATACATCTGTGTGCACATATATCTGTATGTACAGTATGTATGATACAGCCCAGAGAATCAGAACAGAGGCAGCTGACCCGAGTATTTTGATGCCCACTTGAAGCCGGCTGGCTCTGACTACGCCACACTTCCGCACACGGGGAGCTCTAGTGGTCCAGGGAGCACTGGGAATTGGGGGGGGGCACACAGACATCACACACACACAGTAATAATTCAGAGGAGAGCTGGAGGCCGGCTTCACTCCAGGGGCAATTACAATGAGATCAAGTGCTCCGCCCCCTCCACCCCATTAAATCATGTGACCACTGAGAAGGGAAGCAGCCATGGCTTGTACGTGTGCATGTACTAATTCCATTAAAGTGTTAGTAGGTGATCGATGTGCAAATACAGCACAAGTCTGCATCAGCGTTTCAGAAGCTCCCGTCCCCTCAGGCCACCCGCTTACCCAACGGCGCCTCCCTCTGGTACTGAGACTGTTGTACATCCCTCCCACCCCCCACCAACTCCCGTCCCACGTCGTTTGCCCTCCTAAGCTCCGCCCTCTGCCCTATTCGGCGCCGCTGCCACCACTCACGCCCGACCCGGCTTCAAAGCTCTTCTCCTCCAGGGGTTTGCAGATCCATGTCCCGTAGCCATGCCCGTTTAGCGCCTGGAAGAACTGGGCCTTGGCTTCCTGGAAGGGCCTGGCGGCCATCTTGGCGTGAGCATAGGAGGGGAGTGCTAGCAGGTCGGAACGCCCCTTCTGGTGGCACAGGGCGTGGAACAGGCGGAACATGTTGGACTTGGAGACGCGGGACACTTCTAGCGTGAGGCTGCGGGGGAGAGGAGCATTAGGAACACTGTGCGGGCCGGGGGGGGGGGGGCGCGAACGACACGGCCGGGAATGCTGACCACTAACCCATCCACTTTGCCCTTGGTCCCGTCCAGCACCTCCACACTGGCCTGGTCTGGCTGGCTCCAGTTGATGCTGGACTCCTTGGTTTTACCCGTGTGGCGCGAGGAATCGTACACGCTGACCCGGCCGACCTGGAGGTCAGGGATGGGTGGGATGTGGTTATGTTGTCCTGGGACCGGCTGTGGCATACGGACGGGACCCCAATGAGAGCGATTGATCCCAGGTGGGACAGCTGGGACACGGGCATGCAGGTACCTCCGGGTGGTTCAGCGTAAAGCTAGGGGGGAGATTCTTCGCGAAGTCTGGCCCATCTCTGGCCAATCGGCAGCAGACGGCCCGTGTCAGGTGGCCATGGCTGTACAGGTATCCTGCATGCAAACGGATAGCAGGTTCATCTCAGTTAAGGGCAGCACCTCCTTCAGGGCAACATGACATTCATGAAGTACCTATAAAACCCAAGTATAATATGACTACGAATAATAATAATAATTTCAAGGCTCTGAAGAGGTGCGGTAGAAGCACAAATACAGAAACTGCAGAGTTAGTAATTAAATATTCAAAAATAAACAGGGTCTCGTCCTAGTGTGCAGAAAGACGCCCTCACAGAGCTCTCACCTAGAGTAATGGAGCGGAGGTAAACTGGGTGCAGGAAGTGGCTGAGCAGTGCCCCCTGCAGGCCTAGCACATTCCAGCGGAGGATCTTGTCACTGCAGCTCATGGTGCGCAGCCGCTCCCCGTGCTGGATGCCGTCCCACGTGGGCACAATGTCGCTGGACTCCACAGGGATGGTGCCCTCTCCTGGTGGGTGGGTGAAGGTGCTTAAAAGGCTAACTGGCTAATGATTGCTGGCACTGCAATTTGCTGACAGCAGTGGGGCGGGGGGGGGTTGGGCTAGCTTGGAAGCCCCATGGCAGCCAGAACCCATGACCTGCCCCCCCTTAACCAAGGCACACGCGGCTCACGCGGCTCTCGGGCTCAGAGCCGACGCAGACACAGCACTTCTGCAGATCCGCATTCTGACAGCATCTGATTTATGGACACCATCATAAGCCTGACATGTTCCATGCCGACGGGACGCATCGGTGCAGGTTTTACAGTGGAGCACACTGCTCTCCCACCAGAAAGCTGCTGCCAGAACACACGGAGCAGGCCTAGGTACTGGGTGATGGGCTGGCAGGAGATAAACCAGCAGCTTATTATCATCGCAATCACAGTCGGGGGGGGCAGGTTCCCCTGTGATGTGAGATGCTGCCTCCTCCTCCAGGAAGCCAGCCCCGCCCCTCAGAGCCCCGCCCACACGCCTGTACACCCATACACACGCCTCACCGTTCTCCACCTTGGTGCGCAGTTTCCCCTGCTTCACATTCTCAAAAAGAGGCTTGTGCCCGTCTTCTGCACTCTCAGCTGTCTCACTGCAGGACTTGTCAAAGAGGGCACCGTCGCCACACGGGGCGGTGCTGGGGGGGCAGAGGGGACGTTGTTTAAATACATATATACTTACAAGAAGGAACGGGGGGGGCTTGATGAAGGCAGGAGGGCGCCAACCTGATATAAAGGTGAAAGGTCACCTCGGGCTTGACCCGAAGCTTGCCATCCTCTGCGGACTCAAATATGCTCTCCTGAGAGCCACAGTCCTGCTTCATCAGCTCGCTGAACAGGAACCTGGATGGGGGGGGGGGGGGGGCGGCAGACAGGAAGTGACACGCTCTGTGATCCGGGCCTTTTCTGAACTTGAGGAATAACAGACCGATCACGTAGATGTGATTCTTCCTGGCAAAAATGAATCAGCAGCACGTTATCCCGGGTCGGCTGTGTGTATATCATCTTTACGATACACACAAATCCCAGGCTTTTAAAGGAGCACTCACGCAAATTAAAAAATGTAAATAAGTCACCAGCAACGGAAATACCCCGAGCAATTAATCTGCACATGTACTTTTACTTAGCATTAAATTCTTATCTACATTACACACCATGCATACATTAGAGTAAACGTTTAACGTTAAACCACCACAGCCGGAGCAGTAAAATCCCCTATAAGATAGGGAATTTTCTATTCCAGCGTGTCTTGGGAATGAGAGCCTCGTCCGATTTACCCCCAACAAAGAATACAGACGTGCTATTTCGGCCCGGCTGCGGGCTGACAGTGGAAACGGCCCAATTGATTCCAGCCTGCTGCTGAGAGAAAAATGAAAATGAAGATATTAAAATTCGAAAACACCGTCAAGTATGAACTTCGAGAAGCAAGAAATTACGATGTCTCGATGACTAAAAGCAGTCACTGCACTAAGGCAATAAAGGTTGGGGTTAAACCAAATCCTGCGTATAAAGACATATATATAAATCTTGCGTATGAAGTCTTCTGAGCCCTTTCATAAGAGCAGGGGAGGGCAATCTTATCCGCAAAGGGCCGGTGTGTATGCAGGTTTTTGGGATAACCTTTAGGTCAGCTGTTCAAACCCAGGTGTTAGGATTTAGCAATCTAATTAGGGTGTTGCAGTGAAAACCTGCACACACAGCAGCCCTTTCTGGATAAGTCTGCCCACCCCTGCATAAGAACCACACCCTGATATCAGCATCATTGTTAAAGAAAAAAGATTGACAGTACCTAATGAAACCTCTTCTGGAGATGATTTCTGCGTGACAGTCATTAACAGTGTCCCCTTTAAGGCTCAGCTCTTCCCCTTTAACGCAGCGGTTGCCTGGAAACGGGAGTGATACCCACTGATGAGGACATGCATTCTCACCTCGTAATTCTTATGCCACACATCATGATGAAGCAAAGCCCCACTCCCACCATTCCACCCTGACCTCCCCATACCAGTGCCCATGCTGCACATGACAACCCCCCCATGAAGCTACCCCGCCCCCACCAGTCCCCATGCAGACCACGACCCCCAGGCTGCCCCCAACATGACACTGGTCCCCCCCCCAGTCCCATCCACTCACCAGTGCCCATGCTGACCACGACCCCCAGGCTGCTCCCCTTCCTCATGACGATGGTGGCGAGGATCTTGCGGCCCAGGAGGCTGTGCTGCATGCGGGCGGTCAGCGCGTTGAAGCGCTGATGACTCAGCATGGCGATCTGGTCATGGAGGGTGCTGCCGCTCACTGGGAGCTGGGGGGAGGGTTCACAGTAAAGGTTAGCATGACAGTAGGGAGGAGGCGAGAGAGGTGGGAGGGGGGTTGGCGCGTACCTCGGCGATGAGCTCCCCCATGCGGGCCGCCTTCTCCGCTTCCCCGATTAGGACCCTAAGAGCCGCGTCAGCCGCCTCCTGCTTGCCCTGCTTCTTGCTGCTGGCGCAGACGGGCGGAAACCAGCGCCCCCCCAGCTTCGCCTGGTATGTGAATCTTGGTGGGGGAGGGGGGGATGAGACGCAGTGAGCAATGTACTGGTGACACCTCTGTGTCACGTGACAGCATGTCAGGAGCGAGCGGTTTGGTACCGTGGGTCGTGGGCCGGACCCGACTGGCCCACCAGGTGGATTTCGGCGGCGAAGCCCCGCGCACGGGCATACTCCAGCAGGCCTGATACAGCGTTGTTGTTGAGATGGTTTATGAGGTCACCCACCCCAGCCTCATGGGCTGCCTGCACCTCGGCCGCTGTCAGGGTGAGGCAAGGCCCTGGGGTCTGGCCCGAGTCGTCATCCCCGGAGCTCAGCTGTGAGGACAGCAGTGCGAAGATCCGTGGGCCCTGGGAAGACGGAGGCAGTGGAGAGGGGCCTGAGCTCAGAGCAGTCCGCAAAAACGAGGCGGGCAAATGAGGCGGGATGTGTGTCTCCCCTTCCTACAGACACACAATGGTTGGAACTGGGCTGAGATGCACTGGGAGAGATGGCAGACACCATATCAGCAGGCTCTCCCAGAACCATCGACGGCATATTCACAGCGTACCAAGGCGTCACCACGCAGGACGCCCCCAGAAAACTGCACATTCCAGACAACGAAGGACATCGGACACGCTCCAAAAAGCATTCCGATGCAGATACATCTAGGAATGTATCAAATACATCTATGTATTAAATACAATCTACATCTAGCCAGAAAATCCAGGCCAAAGAAGGGTGGTTGCCAGGCAACAGAAAAGTTCTCTGTAGCGCTAGACTGTGTTGCAAAGCCTCACTGGCTAGCTGGCAACAAACTAGCATCGCGACTGACCAACGCACCTCCACCTTATTTATACTGAACTCAACTTCCTATTTATCGTGCAACCAAAGAACTGTCCTACTTCCAGGTTCGCTCGGCGAGGTGTGTGTCATCAACCGGAATATCATTCAGCTTTACCACCTTTACTTCTGACCTCTAGCAGATCAGTAAATCCCCTGATTTATCACTGCTGAGAGAGAGAGCTTCCTAGAAATGCACAGGGGAGGCTGTGAATCATTGCAGATCTAGTAAAACATACGTTTCTTCATATCTCCCTCTCCAGCACAGTCATGTTATACACGTTAAATTTTTAGCAGAGTAAATAGTCATACTTCAGGAACGCCAAACTTGACCAATCAGCAGGGAAGAGCAGAGCTGCCCTCATCTTTCGACGGTAATGGACAGGGGAAAGGCATCTGCGGTGACCGGCCGGTAAACCCCACGAGATGGCAGATTCATTTACAGGTGTGCAGCACTGTCACGCGATATCCAGAGCGCTACACGGCAGCTGAGCTGACCCGGGGTCCCCTCGCACTGGCTTTCCCTGGCGACACTGTATGTTCAGGCGGAGTAGAATGACACCGGGGAGAGATCCCCGGGAGCGTTATGGAGCGCGAGCGCGCGCAGCGGCTCCTGTCACCTTGCTGAGCGGCAGCTTGCCATCCACCAACAGCTCCTTGACGGCCTCCTCGGCTGCCAGCTGCCGCGCTGACTTCTTACTGGGGGCTGAGGCTTCATTGAAGACCTGGTGGCCCACCTTCACCCGGAACATGAACCTGCAGGGGGCGCCGGGGGGGACGGAAGGCAAGCGGGGAGGGGGTGCTCCTGAGTGGCTCTCAACCTTCAAATAAATGCAGACAACTTTGTCTCACCCCCCCCCCCCCGCCTAACACTACACACAAATATGTAAATGCATGAAGAGAGAAAGGCCTATGAATGTTCATACTCTGGACCCAGACTCTTACATTTAGGACACAGTCTTGCCGCGATAAGAATAGCAGCATGAAATCCCTGTGGTTTACAGGTTCAGTGGGTTTCAAGGAGAAGGTGTGTGGAATGGCAGAATAAGACAGAGAGAGCCAGTTGCTGTGCGGCAAGAGCAAGCCATGATGGTGGGGGGGGGGGGGTTCCGGGGGGTCGGGGGGGGGCCCCTCCTGTCCTGTGTTTATGAACTCGATGGGATATCCACTGCGCTGGCTGTACTCCATCAGCATAGACACAGGGTTCTTCCCGCCGGGGAGGGAGCGTGCCAGCGGCTGCTGCGGGGTCCCAGAGCAAGGCCCCTGCAAGGGGGGAGAGCAGGATCAAACCATCTGCTACTCACTCTGCCCTTCACACACACACACACACACACGCACGCGCAAGGACTGTGAGAACAGACACACACACAAACACACACCCAGCTCCCTTTAGCTGCACTGACATGATGGATGACAAGACGGTTCAAAACAGAAAGACTGACTCAAAAAGTTCTGAAAGCCGATAGTCGCTCATTTAAAAACAAGCAGCTGATTTGTGAGTCATCGATAACTAGAGACCGAGCACTCTTCACACATCTTTCTTCATGGAAAACAAATCCTGGAGGATCAATTACTAAGCCGTCGATATTTTCTGAATGCCCGGTTAGCTCTGACTGATAGTTCATGCTTAGAAACCTTGCATGCTGATTACTTAGAAATTAAGACACCTAAGAAGTTAAACATGCAGAGTTTAGCCCCCATTTCTTTTGATTTGAATATGCGGCATCAGCTCGTCTCAAGAAGCCTTCCCCCTCCCCCCAATATTTTCTAGGCCAGCTATAGATAAATGCATAAAATCTTCACAAAGAAAATCCTGTGTGTATCCTTCAAACAATTAAACACTGATTACCAACTTAAGTACATTTCCAAACAAACAATCTTACTTCGCTCCCTTTCGCCGTTTTTCTTGCTGCGACATGAGTGCATGAAAGACTTTCCCCATCCGTACTGCCACTACATCCACCTGCCTTTAGGCAAGATGCACAAGGGAGCAACCCACTATTCTTTAAATGTTGATCCTCTGTTCTCCCTTGTTGCTTATGTCCCATTTCCAGCCCTGCTTTGTACCCTATATATAAACTAATGTGTAATACAGTTACAATGTCAACACACTCATATGGTTTACACCCTTCTCAAAGCAGTGCTGAAGCAAACCAATGGCATCTGATGCCCAAACAGGCCACCCTACCTCGAGGCTCCAGGCACTTACAGTGGTCTCGACTGTCGGGTCATTGGCAATATCTCTGCCTGCCGTGTTCCCCTGCTCCCCCTCCTCCACTTCCTCCTCTTCCTCCTCTTTAATATCCTCGGCTTCCCATCCAAGCTCTCGCAGAAGGGTCTTCAGCGTCACAGCTGCCGCATCCTTCTTGGCCGTCTTCTTGCTGGACGCCTCCGCCACAGGAAAGCGGCGACCATTCAGCATAACCTGCATCCGGAACCTTTTGAATGCACGGACGTATAATAGAGAAATGTGAAAGAAACAGGGTTTAGGGTAGCTGGCGATAAGCAATGTGAACTCTATACAACTTAGGATTCAGAGTCTTACTGACCTTGGGTCATGTGAAGGTCCAGATTGGTCAAGAAGAAGAAACTCGCAGCTCTGACCCAAATATTGGGAAAACTCCATCAGCCCACTCACAGGATTTTTGGAACGCACCTCCAGAAGCTTCTGCAGGCGACTGGAATCCAGGGACTGAGGAGCTGCGGCAACAGACACAGCCACTGTGCCCTCAGACACAGGCTGGATGGCATTAAGAAACTCTGGAATATCATCAGACATCCACTGCGAAAGACCTCCATTCTTAGAGTCTTCCTGACAGCGGAAAGGAAGATGGCAGGAAAAGGGGGCAGAGTTATAGGCGCCAGAGTAGGGCAGGATACTACTTTCACGAGGGGTGGTATCCAGTTCTGGAATGGGTACAGAATGACTGTCTGGAGCTGGTTTGGCCATTACTAGTTCTTGTACTTGACTTGCTTGGCCAGGTGACACCATGTTACCTAGCCCACAGTCCTTAGTTTCTAAACTTGCAAAATGCACCGGCTCACAAGTTGAACGGTTGGCAGGAGTGAGCTCACCACTGACACATCCAGCTATGATCCCCGTTACACTTTCTCCAGGAACTGGTTCAGCTGCAATTGCCCCCAGCGACAGAGATGACCCTTCGAAAGTGATTCCCTGCGTGGCCTTCTTGTGCCTCTCCATGCGCTCCCTCTTGTGATCGGACAGCTCCCAGAGGGGAGGTGAAACAGACGAGTCTCGACAAAGGTCACCTTGCTGCTCCAGTATATACAGGGTTGGGTTGACCTGCTTTGCGCTTCTGAAGCCAAGGTTCTTTGCCAGCATGAGTGCATTGGCCTTGGCTGATTCATAGAGGTACTGGAGAATTCGTTCTTTGGTGTCCGTCATATTGACAGAGTTCACTGTCTTACTAGTAGTAAGAGGTTGGTCCCGCTCAAAATCAGATGTGTCCGAGGAGGAGTCAGATTCTTGTTCTGGGGCTCTGTTGGTATACTGGTTTGGCACGTCAGCTTGGTCACTCTCTCTTTCAATTTTGGATTGAAAAGGTACCTCAACTTCTTTCTCTTGCTCCCCTTCTTTTTCCACACTGCCCCGTTCAGGTATTGCTAGGCTGCTGTCACTAGTATGCCCGTTTGCCCTTTCACCCGATGTCCCCTGGAAAAGAGTCCAAAGAGGAGGATTTTCACCCTTCCTTTCCGCCTTCTTTGCCCGGAGCAGTGCGTACAGTGCCTGGTTGACTACTTTTTTCGGCAAGCGGAATTTTTTGGCAAGAACTTTAGCTTGAACTGACTCCCCTGGACTTAACAATGTTAGGACCTGGAGAACCTGATCTTGGATCAGTGGAGTTGCTTTAGCAGTTGAAGTAGGTGTAGAGTGAAAACTGCCAGAGTAGATGCTGCTACTCGGACCTGGGGACAATCTATCCAAATTGTTGTACCTGCCAGGCCCCTCTTGTTCCAGAGACAAATTGTGAAATTGGTCTATGAAAAAGGAGTTACCATATTCTGAATTCAAGCTTTGGTATCTTTTCTGCTGATGGTTTAAAGCTTGGGGCCTTGCAGGCTGACTCCAACTGGCTTGCCTTTTGGGGCCAGAGTGGCAGGGAGAGTTCCCGAAACTGCCGTGTCCTCTGCCACCGTAGTTGTAGACCTCTTTCCTCCTGGGAGCGTTAGCGTGGTTTCTGAAGTGCTCTGTCTGTCGCTGGGTGAGGACGCCTCCACTTCCCCCTCTATCCTCAGTCCGAGCACCCAAACAGTGGCTCCCACCTTGAAGACACGTTCTAATCTGAGGAGCTTCAGATGTATTACCTCTCAAGAACTGAATCTGTTGCTGACGGAAGTCCGGATAATTTTGGCCTTCTACTCCATTTGGAGCTGAGCTAGGCGGAGGCTGGTTTGGGAGGGGAGGGTCCGATGGCCAGAAAGGGTGGGGATCGGTGGTGATGGTGCTCGGGGTAGAGGGGCCCGGGAATCTGTTAACATGAATGGGATTATCGGGGAGTCGTGCTGCCCATGGATGACCGCCGCTCGCAGCAAAACCAGGCCGGTATTGACGGTTACCCTGAAGGTAGGGAGGGGGAAATTGGTAATACTCTTTGGAAGGGCCGCCTCTACCTCTGCTCATATCGCAGGGGTCAGAGTCAGCGGAAGGGCAGGGCGCCGGCTCAGTACCAGCTGGACATACAAGATGGCAGTTATGTCATTGACGGGTCGTCCGTAGGAACAAGACAGGTGGTCACTGCATACGCTGCTGTACCTGAAATGAGGGTTTGGAGCGAGTTGGCAAGAGGGAAGTGAGGTATAAGATGGATGACAGTTAAATTAGGGGCACAAATAGACTGGGGGGAAAAATGCCAGAAGAAAAGAAAGGATTGTGGAGGAGAGAAGAAAAAAAAAAAAAAAAAAAAAGTCAAATTGTACTATCATACAACCTTGTCACGGTGCCACCCATACGTCAGGCAGTCGGAGTTATTTAGTCTCGCCGTCTCTAACATGGCTGGAACACGATCGGTGAGTAAGAGCCCTAAATGAATTATTCATATCTGTTGTGACAAAACCATTTTATTTCTGGCTGGGAGAGATCATTTTCAGACACTTAGAGGAGAAGGGGTAAAACGAACCTGGGTGAAAGAGCAAAGAGGAAAACGCTGTAATCAACCAGTATGTTAATAGGTCTGTATTATACTTCAGATTCGCCCATGAAATGGTTGGGATCACATTAACGAAAATGCACTAACAGCAAACAAACCGCATACCTAATCACACATCTATAAATAAAGACCCTCAGAAGGACTACAAAGAGTTAAATTTCTCAGACCCAAGTGTTTCATGTAATTATCCTCCACATATATGAGAGGCACAGAAAAAAAGTTACTCATGCAAACAACACTTGTCCATGCATAAATCTTTAGAGGTCAAATAAACAGACGTCAGGAAAGACCAGATTAAAAGCCGAAAATTATAAATCTCAGAAAGCTGGCGCAAATCACGGATGCAAAACACGAGACTCTTCTTACTTGCGGAGAACATTAATATGAGGAGACAGTGTCTTTGCCCTAAGAAAAAAAAAACCGGTTGCCACTGACTCACCCTGACCCTAATACAAGAGCAACCGACTGCCAAAATAACAACTCCACACAAATAAGCTTTAGTTCTTGTACGGCTGGGCACGGCTTTAGGAACATGCATATCCCCTTCATCAGACGGGGCTGATTTTGGGCACGATGCAATACAAATACGTAGTTAATTGCAGATGCACAGTATGTGTGTGTCTGTATAATGTATATGACAACTATGCATAAGTATATATCCGACAATCAGGCACACTATCCTGATTAACTAGTTACAGTACGGCAATCCAACATGAACCAGACATATAAGTAATCCAAAGAAATCTAAACGTTTATCATTCTTAGGTGTAAAAAGCTATTATAAACGGTATATTAATGCAATTAAACGTACCTGCTCAGCCTTGAATGCCCCCTTTAAAATGTAGTTATATTCGCAATATTACACTAAACACGTGCATGTCACTCGTAAAGTTTCGATGGTGCTCTTTGCCAGGAAGACAACCAGAAGTTTTCGCGTTTCTTCCAAGCGTTTAGCACCTTGTAGCACGTGGAAGCATACGTCTAATTTATCGCAAAAATATGCCGGTGTCTTCAAAAATACCACTGAAAATAAAAATCAACCAAATTATCCCTTTATAGAATTTGTATTGTTTAACTTGTGTCGTCGATCGGCCGCGCCAAATTGATCAAGATCTAATAATAGTAAAACTGCAAACGTCGCTTATATTCCTAGAGATTAGCCCAGATCTTATTCGGTCAGGTAGCTTGGACGTGCATAAGGAGCTAAACTGGCTTATTTTAGAGTAAAAGAGGAAAAGGTTCAGATGGTCATTCCGTGATTATGTCACTGGGACGTCGATACGCCAGTTTAAGTTTCGCTTTCCGTTCTGGAGAGACGCGTCTGCTTCCCGTCAGCCGGGAAAGTCACGCCGTGCGCCTCTGATCTGCAGGGCGCCAGCCAGTATCAAGCTTCTCGCAGACTCGTCCTTATGACACTGCAATTGCATCAGATAAAAACAATATGCCAGCTTGCTGGGCTGTGACATTTTCTCCGTGAGGTTTGTAAGGGAATTACTTAAATTAAGGTCTGCTAACGTATTTCAGGTCAAAACTCTGCTTTAGATTCAAATCATCATCCTGTGGATTTCTGGATGCCGATTTTTGTTTCGTTTAAGATATTTAACTTGATATTTCCTAGTTTTTTTTTATTTTTATAAAAATTACACAGCTATCGCATCTTCTAACAGAGAGGAGACAGAAGCTATATATTGCAGACTACGTTACAGGTAAATGGGTTACACCTGGCATCATTTGCCTCACATGCTTGATCTGCTTGTGTGGAGTTTTCATGCTGTCCCCCGTCAGACAGGTTTCCTACTGCAGTCCATTGACATGCAGTTAAATGAACTGCTATATTTAAGTTGCCCGTAAAATCTGCATATGTGTGACCTTCAATGGACCGTCCTCCGGATCGGAGTGTCCTCTACTGCATGGGCTGGCTTCTTACTACAGAATTAATTAAACGTTCAGTTGATATAAAGACGAGTACTCAGAGGTATTTGCTACACCAAAATGGAAAACCACTGGCCTAAAACAACATTAAGAGATGTTGTTTATATTTATATTTACCACCGGATGTTTATACATTTGTCATTTCATTCTGTGCACTTATGTTAAGTATATTGTCTGACCCTGTCTATAACTGTTGCCGTAGCACCGAAATTCCCCTACGTGGAATTAATGAAAGTCCATCTTATCTTGCCCTGATTATCCTAACAAAAACAACAGAACAAATTTAATTTTGTCGATCAACATAAACTGCAACACAGTGAGAGGTAACTAAAATCTGAGACGCTTACAAATGTCAAATGGTGCAAATGTGATCGAGTTAAGTCCACAGAGCTTTTCGACAGATTCTTTCACACCAAAATGAACTGGTAAACCCGCCTGAATGACCTGTTTTATAAGTGTCGAATCGCATGTCTACCCCTTTTCACTAGATCGACATCGCCATTCATTCACTAAACAAGGGCCCGGATGAATATATAAGCAATTAACAAAATAATAATAATAACAATGACGGCTTTTCTTAAAAGGTCATTCAGAGCTATGTGTAAACCAACCAGATGAGGGATTCTTCTGGCTTAATTGAAAAAGGTAATTAACTTGCGTAAGATCCCTTTCCCTAACTAACTAGCCTATTTAAATATTTAGCGATTAAATCCTCTGAAGCAGATTCAGATTTCATCAGACAGACTGAGCCCGTGTTACCATCTATCTAGAAGCCACTTTAAACTTCCTTTCGCGTCCTTTCATTCCACCATATTAAATTACACACTTACATACATATTGACATAAACTCCCAAATAAGTCGGCTTTCTTGTTGTTATACAACATTGTTACACAACATTGTACGAGAAAACATCCTCTTCATTTCCTCAGTTTCAATGAGATCAGTGCTTTATCTGCATATTTAACGACTGATGAATGTGAACTACATCCCAATAAAGCCAACAGTTTGTCCCGAAACAAAAATACACTGTGCAAATGTGATTGCGTTCCGAAAAACACACATAAAATGCTTTATCACAAGCGACTTAGAGGTTAGTTACTGTTGGAAAACAAAAACAAGTATGCTCAGGACGTGAAACAGCAAGGTACACTTCAGTAGTCTTTGCATCAGCAATCATCTCTCGCTGCATCACTTTTCCGGCCGCATGCACAATTTCACAATTTAGAAAAAAAATGCACAAAGTAAAACTCAGAAAACATCAGATTACCTGCAGTTGCAGCCGTGGCTCTTCTCGGTACAGCTAGAGTAGCGGTGCTGGATGCGATGCCGTCGTCCTGCGAGACACAACGGAATATGCACGCAATGACATCAATAGCTCGCGACAGCGCTCGGGCTGGTTGCGCGCGGCTCTCACGCGCTCGCCCGACACAAAGATCGCACACAGAGTAGTTCCACTTAACCCCGGAAACTCGACGCCTATCGGACGATAAATAAAAATAGAGATTTAAACTGTACACGTGTAGTTATTGTTTTTGGGTGTCTTTATTATGTAGAATATAGAGCCGACATTACTTTTATTTTCTAAGACGTTTAATTAAGAAACCCTGTACTATACAGTGTAATAAATGTAGAAGGCATCTCATGTTACACTTACCTGGTTCAACGGGGATACCGTCTGACATTCGATATGCAATCAAGTGTTTACACTGTATGCAGATTAGGACTCCGCAAACATGTATGTTTATGTACAACCAACAGGATGGTGCCACAGTTTAACGTCAGTGTATTTATGAAATGCTTTCCTCCATATAATACATATGAAATAACCTTATTTTTTGCTGTTGTTTTATTATTTGAAGAATGTTTTGAGATATCATATTCTAGTAACAAAACATTTCTTTATTTACCAATGAGCAATCAATTTAACTTAATGATCGTAAGATCCCTTAGTGACATTCTTCCGTTTTGACTTTAGTGATCCCCTAAGAGTAACAATATTATGAAAGAAGATAACCGGGCCTGAGAATCGTACCGAAGTGTGTATGTCATCCGTTTTCGTCATTTCTTCACAGCCTCCTCTTACAGCTTTTCCTTTTTCTAATATAGTGCAACCTGCAGCTCGTCGTATTTTTTTTAAAGCGATCCTATGAAATAGCAATGCCAACATATTTATCCGCCCCTGCTTGTAACCCTGTAGTTATTTTGTTTGTCCAGTAGGTGGCAGGCCACCTGGAAGGATTACAGCTTGGTAAGTTATTACAGTACTATGACCCACGGCATGGAAAAATGGTCATGTCTTGTAATTCGTAATATTTGGAAAAATCGGTTTTCCGAAGTCATATGTCTAGATAGCTGCGTGCGAAAACACTGGGTAATTGCGTCATTTACTGTAATGTAAACATGCGCTTCAGTTTAAGATAAGACTGGAATAGTTTTCAAGGGAACCGCCGAGTTACTTGAGGGAAATGATAGCCTTTAAGTAACTGATCATTAACCCCATGGTAAGAGGCTAACTTAATAATTCACTAACTGTGTATCTCACCTCATGGGTAATATTATATGTCTGTATAGGTGTGAAATTGTATATACGCAATATACTCAATTCTCCTATATATACCAAGCGTTTTGTAGATTTGTGCTGTATATAATAATGATATACACCACCTTCTGCATTGGAACATAATACAGTTTACACACATTAGGAGAATTAAGGATTGAGAATAAGCTAAGCAATGCTACAGGGCAGCTTGACGAATAGTAATGCTGGTCGATCTGCGCCCCAGGGTTGTGGGTTTGAATCTTGCGACCAGCTGTGGTGTGTGTGCGTGCATATTTTACTCAGATTTGCCACGACCTCGCATTGGATATGTTGTTCCGGGAAAAGCATGAACAAAATCAGTAGAGATTAGCATGAAAAAACTTGCCTGCTGATTATTTTTGTTTTACCATGAAACATTATTGAAATGATGTTCTCAGTGGCATTTTTAAGTGTGGAATATGTCACTCATGGTTAATTTTAAAGTCCACACGGTATTTTAAATGTATTGTGCGTCCTGTAGAGTTTTGAGAATGAAAATCCTTTGATTGTTCTCATCCTTCACCACACACACGACCTGACAACACATCTGCCTCAATCTATGGCAAACAAGCCTGCTTGCTTTCTTGACTGGAGCCTACGATTCAGCTGCACCAGAGCTGTGGGCAAGAACATGTGCTTCCCCCCACCACGCACGCACAGGCACATGCACACACACACACACGCACACACACGCACACACACGCACACACACACACACGCCTGCCTCTGCACCCTTGTTCAATCCACCCCACACTGTTCACTGGCTCCACCTCCCACCTCTTTTCTCATTGGTAATCATCGACATAGAGTGGGAGGGGGTGGGGGATAGGGAGAGAAAGAAAGAGAGAGAGAGGGAGGGAGAGGGCTTACTTATATGTTTAGAATTGAGCAGGCTCTCCGTGTATCACTTCAGGCAGCGTGTTATCCCCGTGTTGATCTCCTTCAGTGCATCAGTGAGCCTCAGTGAAGAGGTCTCCCAATATCTCTTCACCTCCTCCCTCCCTATTCAAGCAGAGCCGGGAACATGCTTCATCTGTTTTTCTGTGCGTTTGGATTGTTAGCGTTGGTCCCAGGTAAGTGTTTATCTCCGTGTTTGTTCGCCTGTTTTGCACTTATCCTCTCATCCACATTTTGTTCTGTATGGAGACCAAGGAACATAAGGGGTAGAAGCACTGATGTAGAGGAGAAGTGGAAGTAAATGAGGAACAGTGGTGCATGTACAGCATGCTGAATGCTTACAAGCTGCATTCAGACATACATGTAAGTGACATGTGATATTCAGAGTACGGTGGGAGCTGAGCAGCTGCTGGACTAGCTGTAACTTGTGCTTTATCACTGGAAGTAAAGAAAATGCCCTCCTGATGAGGCAGTGACACATTAGAAACCATCTCTCCACCATATCCAGTGTCTCTCGCACACAGTGCCTGTATCCAAGCAATCAACAAACAACAACAGACAGCTTACTGTTGAACATGACCACTGATGGTTTTTTTATTGGCTGGACACCGGACATACTGCAGTGCTGGCAGACTAACAATGCCCTGAAATATTCAGGAGTGGACTGTCATTTGTGATGCGGGTTTATGTTAATGTTACAAACTGTATTCTTTTATAGACTGCAATCTTGATAGTTAAAGAGCTGATAAAGTGAATGGTTAGTGTCAGTCCTGCTGATCCTCTTCCCGGAATGTTCTCTACCTCCTGACGTTCATCACCATTACTCATCAGTTATGTTGTAGTCCTTTCCTCTCTGTAATTCACATTGTTTTCCATTCCTAAACCTGCCTTTTGATCTCTCTTGCCTTTTCTAACCTCATATCTTTCTGTTCCTCCCTTCCTGCTCCACCTCTTTTTCTCCATCCCTCGCTGCCTCCCTCTCTCAGCGTCACTGCAGGGACCACACCAGCGGTACTTGTTGAAAGAGCTACTAAAGGACTACAATCCCATGGAGAGGCCAGTGGCAAATGATACTCTCCCTATTACCGTCAACCTGTCCATGATCCTCATACAGATTATGGATGTGGTAGTTGGCTTCTCTCTCTCTAATCCTGTGTCTGTGTGTCCGTCAGACTGTCGTGCCAAATCCTCATTTGTCCGTCCGGTTTCCGCTCTCTCACCAGCTGTTTGTCAGTCAGGCTGAAAGCGGGAGTGTAAACATAATAGATGGAATGAGGGTATCTGTGAAAGTTGTTATGGGGGTGCGAGAGACGTGAGCCTTTACTGAAACCACCCCTTTCCACTTTTTTTCAGGATGAGAAGAATCAGGTTCTCACCACCAATATGTGGCTCCAGATGGTAAACAGATACCCCTCACTATGCGTGAAGCTTTGAGTGACATTAAATATCCATTCACTGTATGATCACTTATGCAATTGACATGTTATGTGTAGGGGACAACTGAGGCTATTAATGGGATAGAATGAGCAAAAGCTCCTTCAGAAACAGCATCCATAAGCAGAACGGTTCTCGCGAATTACTCTAAACTTACTGCTCCACAGCACTGGTATGACCACTATCTCCAGTGGAACCAGTCCGAATATCCTGGGGTGAAGAACCTGAGATTCACCACTGATCAGGTGTGGACGCCTGACATCCTCCTGTACAACAGGTAACACGTCACTGCTACGCTGAAACTCACATTATGCCCGTGGCAGCACATTGTACCAACCATAGGGGGCGCTCTTCTGCATGCTTGCATGGTGTCATTCCCACTGCAACTCCTCCTCGGCACAGCCATTGGGATCCTTCTCCCTTAATGCCTCCCTGCCTCTCCTTACTCTTTTCCCTCAGTGCTGATGACAAGTTTGACTCCACCTTCAAGACTAATGTGCTAGTTAACTCCAGCGGTTTCTGCCAGTATCTGCCACCTGGTAGGTCTCCAGCCTCCCTGTCTCTGTCACCCTCCCTAAGGGGGCAGTGACCACCTACTCTTTGGGGTTCCTACCACAGCGAGAATATGTGTCAAGACATTTCTTCTTGCTTGTTATTACCATTCTAAATATAACACAAGCATGGTCAAGCCTTTTATGAAACAGGTATTACCTGTAGCAGTAGCAGATTTAACTGGATTTAAATAGTAGCGTCAAAGAACAATAATAATCCATTCATTTGCTAAACAATGGTGCTGCTCAGGGTGACAGGAAATCCTGGAGCCTATCATAGGAAGTACAGGGGAGAAGGCAGGAGAGACACCACGATATGAAGGCAGGAGAGATGCCACGATATGAAGGCAGGAAAGATACCACAATATGAAGATGGCTCACCTAGGGTGACACTCAGCCATTGCACTATGCTGACCCCAGCGAATTCCCAAATGCGGGAATCTAGACTGCATAATTTCTGGTAGTGGGGGACTTCCATGACACCTGCCCCTGATATTTTTATTTTTGGTGGCTACAGCTGCAGGGGGGGCGGAGAGAGGCTCAGTGGGTTAAGTCTCTGTACCTGTGGGTCAGAAGGTCGCCAGTTTAAACCCTGGCCACATCAAAATGGTCACATGTCCGTAGGCCCTTAAGCGAGGTGCACATTGGCTGGCCCTGTGATGTGACTCCCAAACTATGGAGAGCAAGATGGGGTTGGCGGAGAGTAGAATTCCAATGTACCTGTATTCATACTTGTGCAAATGACAAATAAAGGATTTATCACCATGGATGGGATATAATAATGATGACAATAATAATAATAGTGCCCTATTACCCTGGCCAGGATAAGCAGTTGGATGATGGATGGATGGATCAATGAATAATATTATAAACAATGTTATTGTGAAATAACTCCGATCTTTCAAACTCCGAGGGAGTTTATTGTGAAGGAAGGCTGGGGCCGGATAGCGCTCCCTCTGGATCACCACCAAAATACACGGACCCAGAGGGAGACAAGGGTGACTCATTACAGTGGGGACTGGGCCGGCTGTGCACTGAGCCCCCCCATACATTCAGTTTTTGTAGCATGACTGTTTCAGGAAGTAGGTAAATAAGTACTGTTTTTAGAAGACTTCTTCACAGACTTCCCTGGATTCTGCAAACATATTAGTTGCGATTCTTTCATTGCAAACGCACATGTTCTGGATTTTGCTGTATCTCAGAGGGCCTGGGGCGTTCCCTGACATTGACTCTGCCCTGGTCTCAGCTGGCCCGGGGAGTTCCCTGACAGTGACTCCCTCCTGGTCGCAGCTGGCCCGGGGAGTTCCCTGACTGTGACTCCACCTTGGTCTCAGAGGGACCAGGGCATTCCCAGATATTGACTCTGCCGTGGTCTCAGCGGGACCGGGGCGTTCCCTGACTGTGACTCTACCCCACTCTTGCTCTCCCTCCCCCAGGGATCTTCATGAGCACATGTAACGTGGACGTCCGCTGGTTCCCGTTCGACATTCAGAGGTGCGAGCTTAAGTTTGGATCCTGGACCTTTGATGGTTGGCTGCTGGACCTGCAGATGAACGAGGCCGACATTTCGGGCTACATGTCGAACGGGGAGTGGGATCTGGTTGGTGAGCGTGGACCCCCTCCTGATTAAAGGCCCTCTCACTCAGCTTCTTTTATTGGCCAGAACATGAACAGGGGAGAACCTCCCCCAGGATAAGTGGTTAGACAATGGAATGATTTCCCTTCATCAATTTTTAAAATCTCCACGCCGTACTCTTTCCTCCTCAATATCAATACTAACCAGGAAGAACAATTGTGCCATGTTCTCCATACCTTTTTCCACCCTCTGAAGGGGTTCCAGGTAACCGGAACGTCGTGTTTTACGACTGTTGCAAGGAGCCGTACCCTGACGTGACGTTCATCATAACCATCCGGCGGAGGACACTGTACTACGCCCTCAACCTGCTGATCCCGTGCGTGCTGCTCTCTTCCATGACCCTGCTCATCTTCCTGCTCCCGGCCAACTCCGGGGAGAAGATTTCTTTGGGTGAGAGAGGTGGGCGGCGGGAACATAAAGATGAACGTGGGGTGGAAGGGGAGGGCCTGCAGATTCTGCAAGGCAGGAAGGTGATGGCGGATGCAAAGGGGCTGCTCTGAGCATAGGAAATGTGAGCACCGGGGATATCGTTGGATATCAGCAGAGAAGGCAGTGAAAAGCCAGGCTGCTCAGTGTGGCACATTAACATCTGCAGCCACTGTGAATTACACCCGCTGCTTTGATCATCCCTGGCCACGTCATCCTCTGCAGTCTTATTAAACTTTGGCTGCTCAGACAAGCAGAATAAGCATTTCTAAAGCGGGAGGAAAGGAGGATTATGGATACAGAGAGTGAAGCCCCACCCAGAGGCCCCACTCACACATGCCCCTATCTCTCTCTTTCTCTGTAGGTATTACAGTGCTTCTCTCTCTCACCGTATTCATGCTGCTTGTTGCGGAGATCATGCCGGCCACCTCAGACTCCATACCACTGATAGGTCTGGGGAAAAAATTCCAGCGATATTACTTGCAGCTTAGTTCCCTTGTTCCTGAGTAGCTGACTAACAAGCTTTTGCACCTTTGCCTCGCAGGGCAGTACTTCGCCAGCACCATGGTGATTGTGGGCATGTCGGTGGTGGCGACCGTGGTGGTGCTACAGTATCACCACCATGACCCTAACGGAGCGGACATGCCTCAGTGGGTAGGCCCCCTGCTCGCCGTCTGGCTGCCCGGCCAGCCGCTGCTGTCTCCTTACGGCTGGGACGGTGTGGGCTCCTTGAGGTCTACGGCCAAGCGTGTCATGTTGTGTGAATAAGCTGCTGACGCCTTTCTGCATGAATGGTTTAAACTGTCTCACAGCGGCTTGCTCTGCACTGGCTCTGTAGCCGTCTTGGTACCATGCTGCCGCTATGTTTATATCCCTTCGTCTTCCCTCCCGTCTTTCCTCGCCCTCCTGTCTTTCTTCCGTGTCTTTCAGCATACCTACCTGTATTGTGTCCCTATCCCTCTCTGGTTCCAGGTGCAGGTGATCCTGTTCCAGTGGGTTGCGTGGTTCTTGCGGATGAAGCGCCCAGGAGACAGTGGGAACCCCAACAGCCGCACATGCGCCGCCAACCTACGGCGCTGCTCCTCCGGTTCACAGAGCAGGAGCATCCCCAACCCTCCCGACCCCTCCCTGCACCCCATGCACACCCAGAACCTCCCCCAGGCCCACAATTCCCTCTCCCACCTGCACAGCCAGTCCAGCACGAACAACAATGGCAACCTGCTCTACATCAGCTTCCAGAACCTGGATGACCCACCCCTGCTACCCGAGCAGGCCCAGAGGATCGGCACAGTCACACGGAAAGGAGGTTCTGGAAGCATGGCCAGCAGTCCGCCTCCACATATGCCTCCGCAGTTCAGCAATCCCCCTACTGCAGCCTCAAACCTTGACACCATGGGCTGCTCCAGCACCATCTCCAGCAGCTTTGGTCTGGGGGCGGCAACTGGCTGCCTTGGGGTTTCCTCGCCCACAATGGGGGACCCCCGCCTCCAAGCCATCCTGGAGGAAGTGCGCTTCTTGGCCGACCGCTACAGGGAGCAGAGTGAGAGTGAGGTGGTGGTGGACCAGTGGAGATTTGCCGCCGCTGTCATTGACCGCCTCTGCTTGGTGGCCTTCAGCGTCTTCAACATCATCTGCACCATCTCCATCCTAATGTCTGCCCCTAACTTTGTGGAGGCAGTGTCTAAGGACTTTGTCTGACTAAAAAGAGGACAGAAATGCTGCAGCTCACAGAGGAACAGGAAGAGCAAATATGTGTCGTTGGATATGTGCGTGGGGGGGGGGGGAGGATAAAGCCACTGAAGACAAGAAGACTGAGAAGAGCAGGAAGGACTAAACTATACTGGAATTGATTCAAAACAAACGGAGCAGTTAAATTCCTGCTTCTTCTTCATATTATGAAAAGACTTCAGATGTCGTGCAATTCATTCATGTTATGGGTGAAGACAAAATGATCCTCCACTTGATCCATTCAATAGACGTGGCAAAGAAATAAATCCTCTACTTGATCAACCCAATCAGAGGGACCCTGCAGTCCTAACAGGGGCTACGTGTCCAGTCAACAAGAGCATTTGTTAGGTTCCAGAAAACCTGCATGATTGTGTTAAGAATCAGTGCACTGATGTACCTCCAGTGACTAATTCAGCTGTATTGGATTGTGTGAGAAAATCTCCGCAGCTAGACAGCATTTGACAATTAAGTCAATCTTCTTTTTTCAAAGGAAAATTCTCTTGCAATTGCTTGTTTTTGAGAAACAAACTTCTCTCCTCCAGTGGCATCCAAAAATAAATACCATTTTTGCAAGATTACTGCTTTTTTCCTTCCTGGTCATTTTAGATCCCAAAAAAATAAAACGGCAAAAAGCGCACTGCAGACAGACATGGCCGTAAAGCCGGGTAGGACAGTGATTTATTCCCTGTAATGCTAGCAGCAGCATTTGAAAGGTCGTATAATAAGGGCACGGGGAGATAGTCAGACCGGTCGGCAGTAAAGAATAAATCTGCATATTTGTCTCTACACTAGCCATTGCACGTTCAGCCTATTATACCAAATACGCGTTAGTCAGAACTGCCTGCAAGAATAACTCACTTTTATGAGAGGAGGTCAGGATGACAGCCTGCATTTTAGTCATAGAAAATTATGATGCTTTTTCCATTTTTGCAAAGACAGACTATTTCATAATGTGCCGTGTATCTCAGTCTTTCAGATTTATGCGCCGAACACTCAGTGCAGAAGGCAGATGTCTGTATCATCAGCTAAACCCCGGCGGTCGGGCCAGTGCGGGCATTTCCTGTCGCTGTATCTGTGCCTCCTACATAAAAATCCCCTTCCTTTTCAATTATACATAACGGCGAGCTGGAGCCGCGACCGCACACAGATTCAAGGTGTCCGTGGAGGTGCGGTAGGGCACAGAGTGAGAAATGAAAGCCCAACAAACTGGCCATGCTTAGCACGCTCGCTGTCGCGGTTAGGGCTTAAGATGTGGAAATTAAAAGCTGCCAGAGCGGAAACATTTCAGAACGACAGCTGTGGAGATACGGGCATGGGGGTGGGGGGAAATGGGGGGGGCGGCATTTATGCAGGGCCTCTAGCCAGGAGAGGAAGCAGGATTTGATGTCACTGCGGTGAGCAGCGCCGCATGCAGGAAAACGCTGGAAGGCTGTCCGCTAGGACGGCCCATTCTGTCTCCAGGACGCGCTGCTTCACCAGCATTCAAACCCTAAGAGAAGCACTTTGCCATTAAGGCAGGAAGAGTAATTAATGCATCAGAATTCATCAGAGGAACCCACGCTCAGGTTCTGGACCTGCTTCCATATCATTAAAAACCCATCCATCCCATACAATTCTCACCCTCAAGGGCCATTCTTCTTTCCACAGTTAGAGGGAAAAACTCATCCGTTCGTTCAGCAAGAGAGTAGGCATGCAGTGATCGATACCATTTAACGCCGGGCCCTGGAAAAATGACCGCGAGGATCAATGCGTCGGAATGAGGCCAGTTTAGATGGTGATTGATAACCTTCCCTGCCCTCCCTGGGGCTGCATCTCCACAATGTGCTTGATGAGATGTTAGGCCAGCGCACTTTGTTTATTGAGCTCAGTTTTATTATACGATTACCCAGGGTTGGTTATAATGATGGAGCGGTACGCCGTACAGGGCGCCTCCTGTGTTTCCTCAGGCTAACTGCAAGCCTGCACTGGGTAAGTGCCTGGATGGATGGTTGGATAACAGGACAATAGCAAACAGAAGAGTGACAGGCAACAGGGACTGCATGTGATGCACCATTTAATGTAACTGCCGCAGGTGCATGAAAACATGCAACTTTCAGAATTTCAATGCTAATTCAAGAGAAAATAATTAATGTTCAAGAAAAAAAAAATACTGACTTGAAATTTATAGGAGACAAGAACAATTGTGCTAATAGTCTGCCAGTGACTATTAGTTTCAGTTTTCAAAAACTAGTTTAGATACTGAGCTCCCAGAAAATTACATTATACAAACCCTAAATCTATTAAAAAGTCAAAATAATAGCTTGTTTCAAATTAGGCGTGCGTTCATCCAATTTTGCTTTCATGTTATCTGGGTATATACTGACATTCTGGAAAGTCCAATTTCGTCTAACAAGAAGGGAATGAATTTGCAAATCATACAGCATTATTCACTGATCAGCCATAACATTAGAACCACCGACAGGTGAGGTGAATAATTATCTCGTTATAATGCCACCTTGTCATTGGTGCCATTAGATATTCGGCGACTGAACAGTCAGTTCTTGAAGTTAACGTGTTGGAAGCAGGAAAAATTGGCAAGCGTAAGGATCTGAGTGACTCTGGCAAGGGCCAAATTGTGATGTTAGATGACTGAGTTAGAAGAATCTCCAAGACAGCAGATCTTGTGTGGTGTTCCTGGTATGCAGTGGCTAGTACCCACCAAAAGGTCCAAAGAAGGCCAACTGGTGAACCAGCGACGGGGTCATGTGCGCCCAAGGCTTACTGATGCACATGGGGAACGAAGGCTAGCCTGTCTGGTCCGACCCCACAGGAGAGCTACTGTAGCAGGAATTACTGACAAAGTTAATGCTGGCTGTGATAGAAAGGTGTCAGAACACACAGCTTGCTGCATAGGGGGCTGCGTAGCTGCAGACCGGTCAGAGTGTCCATGCTGACCCCTGCCCACCTCCGAAAGCACCTACAATGGGCATGTGAGCATCAGAATGTGTTTGTCATTTACCTGGGGGAGAGATGGCACCAGGATGCACTGTGGGAAGAAGGCAAGTCGGCAAAGGCAGTGTGATGCTCTGGGCAATGTTCTACTGGGGAAACCTTGGGCACTGGCATTCATGTGGATGTTACTTTGACATGTACCACCTACCTAACATTGTCCATATTCCCCGATAGCAGAGGCCTATTTCAGCAGGATAATGTACCCTGCCACACTGCAAAAATTATTCAGGAATCGTTTGGGAAACATGAACACGAGTTCAAGGTGTTGACTTGGCCTCCGAATTCCCCATCTGTGGGATGTGCTCACACATTCACACCTACGGGCAGTTTGGTAATTAACCTAAGCATGTTTTTGGTCGGGGGGGGGGGGGGGACCGGTGTACTCTGCATGTTTTCCCTGTATCATCATGGGGTTTCGTCAAACTCCACAAACGTGGAGCCGTGGCAGAGACTCAAACGCTGGTCCCAGAGGTGAGAGACAACAGCACTAACCACTGTGCCACTCTTTAATAAGAATATAAGATCATAATTTTAAGCCAACACTTTCTCAGCAATACTTGAGGGACAAAGCAAGGTTTAATCACATTGAAAAGTACTGAGCCAGACAGTTGCTTTGCATCAATAAATCAATTTATTTAAAAGAATATGTTACAATTTATTACACTAAGTGACATTACCAAACTTTTTCAGGTTTTTAAACCATGTTAGCCTTCAGCTTACTTTCCCCTGTTTTAGTTCTCGATTTTACTCTACAGTTAAAGCAATTTTTTAAAAATTATTTTCCTTTGTTTAACGCATTTTTGCATCATTTTAGTTCTCGTTTTAAAAGATTTCCCCAAAAACCACCTGGTGAAAATACTGTACAATAAGGATTTTCCATTTTCTTTTTATGTGACGGAAATAAATTAAAAGACTTGGCGTTCAGAGTGGGAGAGCGAGGGCATTGGGACAGGCGGGCGGAAGGAGGGCCGGCGACGTGCCTGTGATCCCAGCATCACACCGAACACAGACGCACTCACGGGAACATGAACACACTGAGGCCCCTGCACGCTCGCCATCACAGGAAGCCCCCTCTGTGGGGCGGCCCGTTCGGCTAACAAGACAACATTCACAGAACAGCACTGAATTCTCAATGGTGGTTAAGGACCAACACTGACATAAACCTACGTACTCCCAAGAATGCTCGGTCTACACAACGGACTGGTCAAAGGGGAGGATTTGATGAACGACAGTATTAATCATCTGAGTCACTATTTCAGGAGGCGGTGCTGCCCTAATACTGAGAATCGCTGGCCGCCTCTGAGAAACGGCCTATACATGTGCAGCTGTGGTCAGAGAACTGAGGAGCCAGCAAACACTTAACACTGGACGTGTATGGCCACTTCCCGTTGCCATGACGATAAACCTCGTGAGGGGTTATACAATGAGCGGCTGTTTACTACATGGATGCCTTGAGAGAGAGCGGGCAAGTAGGAAATGCAGAAGTGCTAAGCACCTTTGAAGGGGCAGGGGGGCAAACTTATGCCAGGGTAGCTTACTATGTCTGAAAACCACTTAAAATGATTAACTGGGATTATTCAAGCACACAGGTATAGACTGAGAGGACCTTCTCGAAGCCACGAGAAGGTGACGCACCAACACACCTTGTGACGGGGAGGGGGGGCTCTTGAAGGTGTTACAAGCAGCCTCATCTGTTGGGTGTCTTTTTTTTTTAAAAAAAAAGTTCAAAAATGGCTCCTGTGATGAACTCAGTAGGAACAGGAAATGAAAAGCCTTCAAATGGTGCACTACCAATGTCCTGCTTATGTACAGAGTTCTAGTACAACAGTTCATATAATGGGGCTGGAAGTGGCCTTGACAGAGCATCCTGAGAGAGAGAGAGAATGGGGGCCTTTCAGGACCGCCTGCCACGTCCCCGTCCCCCCGTTTGACTGCCTAACCAAACATCTGTCCTCTGTGGCCACCCCCGTCCACCTTCCATCACCGGCACACTGTCAAGGGGAGGCCACAAATGCCTACACACGTGCCAAGCATCCACACTGCTGCTTCAAAACACTTAGGCTGAGCGGTATCAGCGCAAAGCCCATTCTGTACAGCCCTCTGCTGCCCACCAGAGGTATTACACCTCATTCACAAAAATGGAACACTCCATCCAGAAGACAGACATTATACGCTTATCCTTAGTACAAATTAGTACAAAAGCAGCTCCGACTCATCAACTGACCACAGCCGAGAGTCTCACAAGCACTAGAACTTACATCGGCCATGTTTATGAAGACAGCAAGTGGCACGGTATACCGGATCGCAGCGAAGACGACTTCCCAGGCGGGCACAGGACGGCAGGGAAAAGTGACTAAATGCTTTTGAGTACAAATGATGTTAAAGCAGAAACAGCTTGAGTGAATGAAGCCCCCCCAAGCGCATGTCAGAGCCCCTGAAAACCTGCCACCGGTAGTTTTAAAATGAGCTTCTAGCGCCACTAACCTTTACCATGCAGCTTCCGAGCGGACAAACCGGGACACAGCTCAGCAATGAAGACAGTAACGTATTCCTCCCCCCGCTGCTCTCCCCTCAGTCCTGCTCCCACATATCAATTTACATTTTAGCTAAACCTACAAACACGTGAAGCATCTTGTGTGAGACAGTGAGGTAAGCAGATGTACCTCTCCCCCTTTAGGACTTGTCTGGAGTTAGTTGGAGAGAATGAACATTAGTCAGTTTTCCGGCAGTTACAACCATGATCACAACCCCCACCCCCCCCCCCCCCCCCTTTCATTCCGTCATCTTATTTAATTTTACTGAGCGAGTCCTTCCTCTTATCGAGCATGTGAAATCTGCACCCTCCCCCCGAATGTTCTGCTCCGGCGGTGAGCATTTCCAGTGTTTCACTTCTCCTTGTGACTCGAAGGCCGGTGCAGACTCATCGCGTGTCAGGTGACTGGTTTACGGGGGCGGGCCATTATCGCTAACCAATCCTGCGGCGGTTCCAGGACTCCTTGCCCATTGGCTCCATGTGGAATCCCCCAGCGGTGGCCGCACTCCATGCCTCTCAGAGTCCTACCCCATGATGCGATGCGATGTATGGACATTAATTCACTATATATTTAAACCATAGACGACGTCCAGCTCCACTGAGCGAGCTCCGAGTTCAGGTCCGAGTGTCAGTGTGAGCATGTGCGTGCAGCTGTCGCTTGACTTTTCGTCGTCGTCGTCGTCTGTATGAGCTTGTCTTCGGCGTCTCCTGTGGTGCGTCTTGTCTGTCGTGTGTAGGTTCTGGCTGTGATGTCCAGCATGTGTGTGGAGGGGGAGGGACGGGGGTGCGGGGGGGTTGGGGGTGGGGGGTAGGTGCTGGTTAGGTGGTGACAATCTCGCCCCCTAGGTGCCGCCATCCCTTCTGTGCCTCAACAGCTGGAAGATATTCTGAAACAGAGATGAGGCTCAGGACACTGCAATGGCAAGGGGGGGGGCACACAGAGTGAGTGGCCCTGAACACTGTCTGGGGAGGGGGGGGGGGTAATACTGAGGTGGTCTGATCTATTTCAGGACTGACTACTAACTGTGCTCAGACCACACAAGGGCAAACTCCCAACACATCAGCAGGCACATAGACAAAGCAGATGCATGCTGGGAACCTGCAGGGATGGGCGGCAGGCCCACCGCACAGCAGCAGTCACCTCGCTGGCCCCCCTCCCCCCATCCTTCACACCGGCTGCCCAGCTGGCCCACTTTCCCCCCTGCAGCCTCACTTGTTCGCTCACTTGCTCTTCCCCTTCTTCCCACTCACCCCCCTTCCGGCTCGTCCCCAGCAGCCACAGGAAAACCGTGCTACCCTGCGCACACGGCGCTGAAATGCGGACGCTTTTACCGGAACATCCTCCCTGCCCGCGGGAGACGCTGAGAGCAGCCAAAGAGGACAGGCAGACGGGCTGGATGGTTTCCACAAACACACAACGCTGCTGTGACGTCACAGGAATAACAAAGCAGCCCCAAGAGACATGGAGAGCCACCCTCATTGCTTTTCCACGGGCACAGAGTAACCGAGCCGTTCTGTGAAGAGAGGCTGGCTACAGGGCAGAGGCTGGCTACAGGGCAGAGGCTGGCTACAGGGCAGAGGCTGGCTACCGGGCAGAGGCTGGCTACCGGGCAGAGGCTGGCTACAGGGCAGAGGCTGGCTACCGGGCAGAGGCTGGCTACAGGGCAGATCCAGCTGCCTTTGGTATTCTACTACATAAGGATCGGCTTAGCAAAGGCGTTACTGGGTTTGGAGAGCGACAGTAACGTAAATCCATTCTGTTCATCATTTCTACAGTACTTTAAGGAGGAGTTTGGAAGTCATCCAGAATGCACCGATACGTCGCAACATGCAGTACTACTGATAAAGAACAATTTGAGTTCTGACCTGCACGTCGATCAATCAGATAGTGGCGACGTATCCAGCTTGGATTGGTCATGTTTTCGGCATTGCTAATAAGCAGGGCCATGTAAGCACGGGTACAGCTGGGGTACAGCTGGGGTTCTTGGTGCCAGTGGAAAAGCGCCAAAGGGCGACACGTGAGTGCAGCGGGGAAGGGGGGTGGGGGGTGCCCGTCAGAAGCTGACAAGGCCTTACCTTACTACACATACCATCTTTACTGCAGTTTTTGTTGTCCTTGTCAGTGGCTTCCTCTTCAACCTGCAGCAAAAAGGCGGGATTTAAAGCACGCTTGCCCCCCCCATCACCCCCCCAGCAGAGATCCCTCAGTTGGCCCATTCTCTGGCATGTGAACTCACCTCTTTCCTCCACTTGAGCTCACAGAAGACCCGCTCGAAACATTCGTGCATGTAGTTGAACTGCGGAGGATCCCCAAGGCAGATGCGAGAAACAAGAGCATGAAAGGACAAGAGATGTGGTCAATACACGACTAGCTCCACCCACCAGAGTGGTGGCCACGCCCACCCTGCCCCACCCCCCAGCAGGACTCACGTATGGGGTGAAGATCTTGACCCAGCGTGGCTTCTTCTCTCCACGGGCGTACTCAAAGCAGAAGGCCATGCCCTCCTCGTCCGTGTCCCAGCGCTGCATCTCACTCCATTCAAAGGCGATCACCTGATTCTGCGGCGAGGCCGACACGGCTCAAACAACCACTGTCCCTGTGCCCCCCCCCCCCCAATCATCAAACGGCTGCCAGGTGCCCACCTCCAGTGCGCCCTCCTCGGTGCAGGCGTGCAGCTTGAAGTGGCAGATGCTGATGGCCGTCAACACATGGCCCTTGCGCCGGGAGTCGCACGCGCAGTGGGGAAAGACGATCTCGTTGTAGCCTTCGCATGAGCGCAGCATGCTCAGGTACTGGAACACCGGGGGGGGTGGGGCAGATGCACAAAAACTCCAGTAGACCCGAAATGAAATCTGGGCTGCATGCACACAGAAATTTACATCATAGGCCTAACCCTGTGCATGGACCGTAGAGGAATGTGGAAACGTGAAGTATGAATTGGGCTTTACAGCAGCTCGGGGGGGGAGAGGTGGGGGCTGCTCACCATTGCCATCTTACGTTGCTCAGCCAACTTCTGCAGCTGATATGATTTCTCATCCGCCTTGATGAATCCCTTCTTCACATCATCAAGAGCCTGTGAATACAGAGACGTGGGGAGCAGAGCTGCACAATTAGACTCGAGGGTGAGGACAGAGGGTGACCCACCCACCCTGAAAGGCTCAACGCTGCACTGGAGGCAAAGGCAGAGCGACCTGGTGGAAGCAGTAGCTGATAGCCAACTCGTTGTCGTTGAGCAGGATCTCTTCCTCCGTGGTGAAGAGCCACTTCCGCAGGGTGAGGCAGGTTCCAGGCACAGCCGAGGTGTAGTTCTGCACATAGAGCTTATGGGGGAATTCGTTGGGGGCCAGCTTGCGTGCTGGGGGAGGAGGAGAAACAGTGGACGAGAGTTTAGACCGTTCACCTTCACTCAGAAAGATTTTGAGGAACAACTTGGAGATTCATGGAAATTTTTCTAAATTAAGTTAATCAAAAATGTAGGGTTACGTTTCTGCCTGTCCTGACTTAATCTCAGGCCTTTACAACCATCCCATGTATCCCAGTGCCGTTTTGGGCATTGTCCCCTCCCACCTACACCCCCCTTAAATACATTTCACCAGCAGCATACCATTTTTGGATCCTTGCCCATTACAGGAAACCAAGGAGGTCCACTTGACAGCTTTAAATTTGACTGAAACAGCAAGTTCACTGGGAGCAGAGTTTTAAAGCTCACAGCCCAAAACATAGTAAGCTTTCAGATCTTACACGGGGATTTACACAGTCTGCTAAAGGCTATCATCCTCTCATAAGAGGCCCCTTAACAGATCCCTGCTTGACTGAGACCATTTTAAATTAAACAGGGTGAAGCAGTCAATGTTATACTTAACGCTCTGCTGTGGTAAATGAAATTAAATCAGGTTTTACAACTTTTACTAGCAAAGCAGCACAAAACCTATAATGATCAGCCCCACTGCATGTAGCTCCTCACTCTGCAGGACTCAAATTTAGACACAATTCCCCATTAAGAGTGAACAAGGATTACTGTAGAACTGTAATAACCGTTATACCAAGGCAGGCCAGTAGTCTCTCTCTATAGGAGGAGTGTTACTTAAGAGTAATTGATTTTTATTAGTAGGTTGCAGCAGTATTGACAGAGACTTAAAGTCATACTTTGTTCAGTAAACCATTGTTTAAAGAAATAAAAAAAAGAGGCCATTTATATTTTGTCTCTTTTACCCCCGCTGTACTGAAAATGTACTAAACTGTGACTTCAAAACCAAGGTACGAACCAAACTGTGATTTACATGTACCATTACACCGCTATTCAGAAAACTATAAGAAACAGGCCTGCATAAGTCAGTCGGTTGTTTATAAAATGAAGTTTTTACTTCATTCGCCTCATATATGGTCCTTTTCCATACATGCATCTGGAGCGAACACTGCATACAGGAAGGCACATTGAGCTGATTGGTTAATCAGATCGGAGCAGGATCGAGCTGCAGCCTCCATAACCAGCCGTTCAGAACCCGCTACAGAAGTGACAAAAGCAGTTTAATACTTCTGGGTTTGTTGTGCCTTTCATGGTCTTCCTTCCTTCTTGCTTGATTCAAAGTTTCCGCTTAGCTGGTTTAAAAGTGACTTCAGTCCAAAAACAGAACCAAGAAGATGAGAAGTGACATAGTGAGTGCACTTCAATGCAGTACACAGGGCAGAGGCCTGTGCAAGCAAGCCTTGGTGTGACTCACTAGACACAGCTGGACTCAGCCAGCCTAGCGGGGGGGGGGGGGGGGGGGCACTGGGACGGGAACACTCTGATCAGAACTGCCTCTGTGCAGGATGAAGGGTAATAGCTGAGTAAAGCAGAGTAAGGCAGCCATACCAAAAGAGTGGTTAATGACTTCAAACAGGGCGAAGTAGCTGGCGGTGGTGCTGTCCATCCCGACCTTCATCACCACAGCCTGGAGGAGACACCACAGAGACATACCATTGCACGGAAATGCTGAAAAGCGGAAGTGGAAAGTTTGGGTTCAGAAAGGAAAAACCCAAACCAAGACTTTGTTTCAACCAACCAGTTCAGTATAAAAAGTCTCAGCCCCAGAGTACTCAACTGGTTCGTTGGAGCAAAATCTTTGTCTGGATTTTTACTTTCTGAACCTGAACTTTCCACCTCTCCTGAAAAGGAAAATGAAACTCCTCATTCTCCACACCCATAAGCAAAGTTCACCTGATTTAAAACACACTACCAGGATTTACAGCCTCTACAGAGACTAAACTGGCTCAGAAGTTGCACAGAGGCTCTCCCCTCTGGTCAGGGAGGAGTGCCACGCTCCGGACGGCCGTGCACGATGCCCACGATGCCCGATATAGACAGCGAGAGCTCCCCGAGTCGCAGAGTACCTGGTACACCTGGTCCGTGGTGGAGTTCTTGCGTACGCGCACTGTGACCGTGGTCTTGTCGGGCAGGGCTATGCGGAGTTCCACGTCCGATACGCCATTATAGTTCTGCCAGAGAAAGACAGCGGGGTGAGGAGCAGCTGGCGACAAACGGCACGGCCACACGTTAGGGATGGTGGAGATGCGACTGGGTCAGCGGAGGCGGACTCACTTCGTCGGATTCGGACAGGAACTCCTGCATGATGTCACTCTCCCCTATAACCCGAACAGAGCACACTGCAGGGGAAGCGAGAGAGAGAGAGCATGCTGAAAGGTGAAATGCACAACCTCGATTTGCAATAATTCCGTGTTTGACCGGCTGTTTGCTTTTGCCGTTTCTTCTTGCCGATAAGCGCCTCCATTTGAGGGCCGCTGGAGATGCACGACATGTCGGCCAGCATATCGGCCGCGGCCTGATGTGTCAGTCTTGGCTGATACTGCTACCTGATATTTAGTGTTTAGTCAGTATTCAAAGTCAGAAGAACCAGAGCTAGAGTCATACCTATTAAAACAATGGCAATAACTGCATTGGACCATCAGCCATTTTCTGTAGCCCAAGAAGAAGCATTTCATCAGCTACAGTCTCCTAAACTGTCGTCACCTCACTGTCGTCTCACTGCCCGCTTTATATGACGGAGTGCAGTAGTCAGTAGCGACTCTACTCCACATCCGGACTGACATACTAAATCTGCCTGGTGTGATCGATCCCTTTGTGCTGCTGATGGAATTTTACCTGCCCCAAGGAAAATACTTGGGGACTTCAGCACCAGGATAACATCAGCTTCACTACAAATGTGTGCCGGTCATGGGATAGCCTGTTGTCGGTAATAACCAACATTACAGGTAATAACACCCGTGCGCGCCGCACTTCCTGTGGGCCTCCACACCCACCTTTCTCCAGGTACTCCTCCAAGCCGCGGCGCCGGGCGTCCAGCTGCTGCTCGGACAGGGAGAAGGGCCACTTGCCCGGGAGCTTGGGAAAGGTGAAGTTGGCGAACTCCCTCTTCAGGTTCTGATGTAGGATGGCGAATTCGCGGTAGCGCTTGGAGCACAGCTGCCTGCCCGCCATGTACACATTGTACACCTGCGTGGTGGACCGGGGGGAGGGGCGTGGGGGGGGTCAGGGGTGCAGGGAGCACAGCAGCCAATCGCCTTTGTTCGCACGTGAGCGTGGTTCGTGCTCTGTAACCACCGGAATAATGACGGAAGTGAGGGCAGCTCGCCGCTGCCTTACACGGCTGCTTCAGAAAGCAAATAAGAAGCTGCGCAACTGCAATCACAGAAATGAAATGCCTTCCTGCAGTGGCTGCCTGGCAACATTGGAACTTTAGTTACCTCAGTTGGCGGCTATGGGCACACACTTACCACGAACTTCTCTGTGTTTTGCTCCACGTGCTTGTATGTGGGCACCGAGATGGGCACGGCCTGCTTGTCACTGTAATCGTAGCAGGACTGAGCACTACCATCGTCCCCTGGGTCCAGGCTATCAGCCTCAGGCTGTGGGACGGACAGCACCGTCAGCACCAGCTCGCGCTCGCCAGCTCGGATCAGGTCCACCACCTGCTTGTGCGTGGCCCCCTCAACGTTCACTCCGTTCCTAGCAGGAGACAAGGGGGGGGGGGGGGGGGGGGATTTTCAGTATGAACGGCTAATGCTGAAGAATCTAAGTGAGGAGAATAAAAGGCTAGAAGCGAGTTACGACTGCAATATATATCATGCTTAAATGCTGAAATGTCAGAAGGACATTTTAGGAGGAGGCAATTAATCAAAGGGAAAAAAATAAATAAAACCTAGAACCTTCTTCAGACGTAGCATCCCAAAGGTAGCCTTATGTACAGGGGCTCAGATCTGCAAACGGTATTTAACAGACATGCCGGCAATGCACATCTGCTCCTCTTCATTCAGCATGCCTGGCGGAGCAGCCAGCAGCCCCTCCTCAGGGAGCGCGTGCTGTGGGGGGGGGGGGTCCTCCCATACAGCGGACAGGCAGCACAATGAGGGGGGCTGACATTTAACTCGTCATTCCCTCATTTTGTAATTGCTGCACCCAAAGAGCACAGAGCAGATGATCTGGGAGGGGGAAGCTTAACACAGTGACGACTGCGATACATCTGTGTGACCAACAGAGCGGAAGATGGGGGCGGAACAGAAAGGAAGACGCTCAGGTCGAGTGTTTCCACACCCGGGGTGCTTGTTGGGTATGTGAGAAATTAACAAGGGGGGGGGGGCAGGAGAATGAAAGTCAGACTGGCCCTTTGAGTCCAAAGCAATACAGGCTGGACACCAGCCCGACATCAGCAGTGAGATTAAAATCCCAGGTGGGACCCTGATAGAGAACTTCTATTATGGCCCTGGGGCAGGATTGCCAAAGGAAAGTCCCGGCTGTTTCTACAAATACGCAACTACTAATATTTCATGGAAGTAGGCAGACAACATTCATACCACTAACGGGAATCTTCAGATATCATCATTATAAACAGAGCAGCAAAAACAGTGAATGCCTTTGAATAGCCTGCTACATAACCTGTATGTCTTCCAGCTGCAGGTCAGTTTAATCAGAAACTTTAAGCAGGTAAATAAACACACAACTGCAGAATAAGCAGATACAAGCCAACTATTCTCCTTGGATTTTATGCTTGCAAAGCAGACGGTGAAATGTCTTCACTTTGACATAACACGGCACTGGTCTGGTTAATGGTTTACACAGCGCTGCTCTCATGAAAGGCAAATGCGCAGAGCGCTGCATGTTCTTTGAGCCAAAAAGCTCCAGTGCAGGTGCACAGAGGCGGCATTGACTTAGGGCTCCGTGTTCCTGAATCTCGGTGCCTAACTTTAAACCCGGAAAAGAGCCTCCATCGCACTGCACTCATTCTCAGACTGCTGTAACGGCAAAGTCCAAATTTCATGACAGACAGTAGAATCCAAGCATGATGACTAACACAGCCAGATACCGCCAGGTCTAAATGACACATCGACCTACAGTGCTGCATTGTCCGCCGGTCAGCGTTCCCGCGGGTCTCTTAGCATGATGTTCAGAGTGTGTATGTGTCTATACAAACGCGAGTAGCGAGGCACTGGTGCCACGGCCCTTGGCACTGATGATCTGGATAGCCTGTCCACAACTGGAGGCATCAACTGTGAAAAGGGATACCGCCAGAGCCTGGCCACATGCTGCTCTTCTGTGGGCAGGGAAAACTGGGGCAAAAGGCACCCTCATGCTTCCCTATTGGGGAATACACACACACACACACACACACTGTTGGAGTAGCACAGTTAAATAGCAGTGGATTTCTAATTCACACAGTATACAGCAAGCTACAACACTTTCAACTCAAGAATGACACTTTCTTCAAGACGACAACTCCTGGGTACAGATTTACAATTACAATATTTGCTGAAAACCTCTGGTCTCAAGAGCATAACTCATTAATATCAGAGGGAGACACATTCTTCTGAGTCAATGGCATGACAAAACACTGCAGTTAAACAATCAGAGAACAGAATGACAAAACGGCCTGGGGTACGATTCCCAAAAACATAGTTGCTAACAAAGTTAGTAACTTACATAATTGGAGCCATGCAACTGAATGGATCAGTCCATGTAAGTTGCTAACAGGAGCTTTTGGGAAACACACCCCAGGCTGAAGGCAGCATTCAGGTTCTGATGGTTCTGGGTACGAAATGGAGCCAGAACACCGACTGTCACACAGGAGATAACAAACAGAAACAACTTTGCAGCATGTCCCTCATATAGCTGAACAACAGAAGAACACTGCCTGGGTGAATGGAGGCGCAGAGAGACTCTCCTTTCTCCCCAAAGCTGTGTCAAGAGCTTGCAGGTTTTGGATGCTGGCCCAACTGCACAACTTCCAGCATCATGTGAATCATTAAATGCAGACGCAAGTCATAGGAGAAGTAAGGCTGGGGTCCACACCCTGTACTGGCAGACCTGACAGAAAGGGGTTTTAACCAATGAGTTACTGACTGGGTGCCCTGCGCAGAAAAGTAATCAGAGTAATCTCATTTTTTTTCCTATTGAGTATTTTAAAAACAGGCTTCAAAACTTAGTCCACTACTATCATAACACTCTTTAACAACAGACATGTGGTTACATTAGTCATTCATGCACTACAGATCTCCAGACTATCATGTATCCCACAGAAACGCGGACACACGAGAGCGCTGCCGTCTTTCATGAGCATGCCGCTTCAGTCACACATTGTCAGATTGATGCGAATCCACTGACAAACCAGTCAAATGTGCACGATTTCAACACTAGCTCCTTTTCAAGAGGAAAGGCTCCAATTGCGGTACATTTTTTTAGTCACATCCAATCAAGTGTCCTCATCAGGGACATTTCAGAGATCTACCTCAGTATGCCTGTCTTGAGGCTTATGGGGTCTTTCAACACTGAACATGGCAGTCAATCGGTTTGATTATACATAATCAAATGAGGCAGACGTATTTATAGTACATGGGATTAAATAAGATAAACAATCAGTGTTTCACCCATCAATGGCATGGCAGTCTGCCAAGACTACAGCTTGCTTCACAAGCCCAGAGTTTCACGTACTGCCTAAGTCACCATAAGAACAATCAGAAAACAATCAAGTACAGTCAGCCCACTGTATCCATGGTTTCTGCATCCGCGGATCGAAAATATTTGGGGAATAAAAATTGCAGAAAGTTTCAAAAAGCAAAACTTGGAATTCACCACGCACTGGGCATGACCTAAAATCCACATGAATAAAGTGATGTGCAAGCATATCCTGCTGACAGATCCTCAATCTCTCCAGCACTACCCAGAATCCACACAAATTAAGTGATGTGGAGGTATGTCTTGCTGACAGATCCTCAGTCTCTCTGCAGCACTACCCTGAATCCATGTAAATTAAGTGATGTGTAGGTATGCCTTGCTGACAGATCCTCAGTCTCTCTGCAGCACTACCCAGAATCCATGCGAATGATGTGATGTGTAGGTATATCCTGCTGACAGATCCTCAGTCTCTCTGCAGCACTACCCAGAATCCAAGCGAATGTTATGATGTGTAGGTATATCCTGCTGACAGATCCTCAGACTCTCTCCGGCATTACCCAAAATCCATGCGAATGCAGTGATGTGTAAGTATACCATGCTGACAGATTCTCAGTTTTTCCTACAGCACTCGTTGCTTGAGCATTGTTCGCCTCACATCTTGTTTGCTACTTGTGTTGTGTGTATCCCTTGTTTCTGCAAACAAAGCAACAACTATTCACATTGCATTAACATTGTATTGGGTATTATAAGTAATCTAGAGATGATTCAAAGTATACAAGAGGATGTGCAAAGGTTATATGCAAATAATATGCCAGGACTTGAGCACCCATGGATTTTGGGATCTACTGGGACCCTGGATCCAATACCCTACAGTGACAGCATATCATGGGAAATAAGACTGTACAGAGATAAAGATATGCAAGGAAAATTTAATATTTTATTGACTGCTTGCAGCTCTTCATAGTCTTCTAATTCCTTAATTCTACACAGAAACAAAGGTCTCATCTGAAAGGCAAGATCAGTATTTAAAAGAATCATGCCCAAAGCTCAGGTACAGAGCTTTCAACATGAAAACACAGACAGACATTTCTATTATAAAGAAAACCTCCTGAGTACAGCTGAACAGCTACAAGGTCTGCAGCTCTGTGCATTATTACTCTCTTTACAATTCATATTAGTGCAAACCCACAAGGCAAGAAATGATCCAAAAACAGCCAAAGCTCTGCTTAATAGCTGCCTTGTATTGAGAAGTTTTGCTGGAGGAAGTGCTGTGGCATTTCACCAATTCCAGACATTTTGATCATTTTGATAAGCATAAAATTAACGGCAGACTCCAACATGTATCACGGAGGTCTTAAAACACCTCAAACTAGCTTCAAATCCACTTCAAGAAGCCAACATCCCGGCCATATGCAGTCGCTAGCTGAGTGAAAAACCAGCAGGACCAGACCTGACCGTTATTGAAGCCTGAAAACCAGGGAACCTGCAGTCCACTGGGCCTTGTCTCATGGCTGTCTCCCATCTGCATACTGATGTTAATCTGGTGCTATGTCACCATCCCACAATTAGGAACCAGCCCTCCAACATCACACTCCACATCAGTGCTTCTCTGAAAGAATCCCTTCATTCCTGATTGGACACACCGCAAAGCTCCTTTTGTATGCCTTTTGCATATTTTGTTTCCATCATTAGCTTCACTGTCCTGCAAGGTCCAGGGCTACGCTATCCAGCCTGTCATTTCCCAAAATAATTAGGATCCGGCTGTTACATAAGTCTGCGCACAGGCCACTTCTGTTACACTGGAACGTTAAAAAAATACATTCGTTTTTATTATTAAAATACCAACCAGCAACAAGATCGGCAGTGTGTGAAGATATGACCTGGATCATAGCGTGTTTAAGTGCGCGGAGCCCCGGCCGGGGGAGGCAGCAGCCGGCTCCGCGTATGTGACCAGAATGGGCAATGGCCGAGAACCCCTACGCACACAGGACGCCTCTTCATCTCAGCATGGCCCGGTTCGGCGACTGGGCTCAGCCCGCCGGCTCGCCATAGCCAACCTGCAGCCGTTACAATCCGGCATTTTATTTTACTTTCTCGTGCAGGACGCAGCTTTCAGCCGCTATCAGTGACCAATTTATAAAAAGCCGGACCTGGTGCTGCGCTCCAATACACGGCGCGTGTGAAGCCAGTCGCCGGATCGTAGTTACAGGGTTAACTAACCCTAATTAAGCCGGGTTCTATGTTCCCGCCGTGTGTCCAGCATCGCAAACACCGTTAAACACTTACCAAAAGGTGCTGCAGCTAGCCGGTTAGCTTACACCTACAGCTAGTTGTGGTTTAACCACTCATTATCAGAGCTGGTTATTTTGCTGGGTGTTTAAGGTAAACAATGTTTTAAAACCACCTAGCCGTGCTGACGACATGAATGTTTATATCTGGGTCCAGCTGACCTGGTAGCTGGTTAAAAGCGACTGGTTACAAAGTGCCCCCTGGTTTATTAATATCAGAGGGAGCAAGATAGTGTCCAGCAAATAGCTGTGTGGCTGGTGGGCACCGGAGGCTCATCGTATCCGGTAATCAACCACCGTGGCCTGTCAGGACTAACCGAGGAGCGCTGACATCTTACATCAATAAACCGGCACCATAAAACGGCGAAGTTTCGGTGAAATTAGCAGCCGGCGAACCGCTGCGCGCCTTATTTCTAATTCACTTACTCGTTTAGCGCGTTAGCATGCTGGGACTCGGTATCCTAATGAAAACACAGACTGAGTGTTAGCCTTACTACTCGCTAGTTAAGCAGCCAGCAGCTAACTAGCCCAGGCGGAGGAAAGGGGAGGGGAGGATGCGTAGCGGGGCCCGGCCGGCTCACTTACACCTCCAGGATGCGGTCCCCCTTCGAGATGCCGGCCCGGTCGGCCGCCCCGCCCGGCAGCACGGCGCTGACGTGCTGCAGCGGTGCGTACAGCTCGCCGTTGATGCTCCGAAGCTGGCCGCCTTCGCTGACCTGCCCACGGACGTTGAAGCCGTAGCCCGAATCCGACTTGACGATCCGGACCAGCCGCGGGCCTGACGTCACCGTGGTCGCGGCCGGGCCTCCGGTACCAGCCGCCGAACCGACACCGGAGCCATTCCGAGACGATGGCTGAAGCAGCGACGGCACCGCAGAACGAATCTCATCCCCTTCGACTTCGGCCATTTTAATAGTATTTAGCCCGATTCGGCTCGGCTCCTGCTACACGGCGGGACATTAAATACGGCGAACCGAGACGGGAGACAGCGACGCCGTCCGAGACCGCCCCACCATCACGAGACCCCCAGCGCGCTTCCCTTTTTCTCCGCCGTCACTTTTTTTCCCCGAGACGTTTTTTATAACGGATTGCATTGTGGGAATTGTAGTCGTCTCGATATGTCCATCCCTTTCCCGTGTTCCTGCGTTTTATGAGTTCGGTAGGTACAATACACGAAAATACGAGAAATAAGACCTAGGTTTAAAAACAACTTCTGCAAATAAAGGGAACTATATATAACTATATCTGTTATATTTTACTTGCATAATAAAAATGTTTTAAAGCGTCATTAACAAATAAGTTGTTGTCAAAAGCAAATAAAATATAAGGGTATCTAAACAATATTAAGCTTGATTAAATTAAGAAGACCCCTTATATAACTTAAAAATGTATGTAAAAATTCAAATACGGTCCGTGGGTTTGCATTTGTACAACATAAAACATTACAGAACATGCTTTCGATACATTTTTAGTTATATACTTATTTTTAATCATTATTTGTCGCATGAATTCGTCGTGGTATAATGAATAGCCAAGACCCTTTACGATGATCTGAAGGCACTTCACGCCTATTTTTATCTTGTTACTAAAGCGGGCTGCAATTACTATAAAGAAACACTAGGTGGAAGCAACTTCTTGCAAATATCCGAGGATTTAATGCAAATGTCTCCTCTTTTTCATATCATCCATTTCACCCCAGAACAGCAAATTTCTCAGCTATAACTTTATAGGAAATATAAATAATTTTCAAATTACAATGATCCTGGTTACTAAACCATCTTAAATTGGAACAAACAGTGGTCTATAGAAACACAGCCCCCCTCATCTTCATCAGCACTAGACCTTTTCCTGGTAAAGGTTGCAGTAGCAGCATGTGGAGCAGGTCAGACCAAAGCTCTGCTTCCAGAGCCAGAGACATTATCTTGCCTGCCAATGTGTCCTGAGACTTCTCCAGGGTTTCTTCACAATGCCATGGACTTTGGATGCTGGGTTTTCCCCTGTTGCTTCACATTTAAACAAAAGAACATCATCTGCAAATAAGAGCATGTGGACCCAACTCTTCCTACATATAGGGAGTGGATGGTATTGGCGGTGATACTCCAGGTCATATTCCTGCAGGAACTCCTATGGTATACTTTGGGTCATACACTTTTCAAAGTCCTCAAAGCACATGTAGACTGTGCTAGCAAATTTCTACAAACCCTCATTCACTTGTGCAAGGGAGAGTTGGCCCAGTGTTCCCCAGCCAAGCCAGAATCAGGGTTATTATTGCTAATGAAAACTAAAAGTATAAGACAACACTGTCACAAACTGAAATCCATCTATTCTTCCATTTTCTGTAACTGCTTGTCCTATTCAGGGTTCATGGGACCTGGAGCCTATGGGCACAAGGCATGGAACAACCCAGATTGGGACAGCAACCCATTGCAGGACACACTCACTCCCTATTCACATCTATGGGCATTTGGGTAACTCCAATTAGCCTCAGCATATTTTTGGACCATGGGGAGAATCCGGAGTACCTGGCGGAAACCCCACAACAACACAGGAAGAACATGCAAATTCCACACAGAGACACTTTGGAGACTCAAATTCTGATTCCAAAGTTGTGAGGCAACAGTGCTAGCCACTGCACCACCATGCCACCCCTAAACTTAAATAAGATAAGAAAATAAACTAAAAAAACTAAAATAACCTAAATAAAAATTATAAATATTTATAACTGAACTAACTACAAAATAGGGGGGTCAGTGGATATTGCTGTAACATGTTTTGCTTCAGTAACTCACTGAATTTCATTGAAGTTCCCAAACTTTTATATGACGTAGCCACATTTGTTTACTACAAATGCCACAAATTCAAAACTCTGCAAGAATATCACAGACCTCATGAGTTGATGTGAAATACACGGTGCTCCTTTGTTACAACCTACCCCACTACCAGGATCGGTTGTTACACATGCTGGGGCAGGTTGCAACAATTAATTAACAGAAGCAAAAAACTTAGGCCACACCATGCAATATGCTTCAAAAAGATTGAAATAAACAGACAATCCAGAACATTGTCTCTCTCTTTGTGACTGAGCATACAGTATCTCAAATACATTTTCTGTTTGGTGTTCCATATTACTGCTGGTTAATATTCAAACTTTCTGACCTAAAAAATAGTGGATTAGAAAACCTGAGTATACGTACACAAAACGTTTTTCAATTTTTCTGACACTTACGCTGGTCAGTTCTGTTCTGGTTTCCAGTGGCTGACTTGTCATATGCTTACCTCACGTGGCGAGTCAAACCTGCTGCCTGAGTCTGATAGTCAGCCAAGATCGCTGGACATCTGGTCTCTCAGCTTCTGCAGTGATTTGCAGTATCAGCTCAGGCTTTTGTGCCAGATTCCATGTACCTTCACAACTGATCTGATTGACTTGCCTCATCGGATGCTTTTTTAAAAACACTGGCAGACACACCTCTGTCAATCTTTCTTTTCCACTGCCTAGGCATTTTGTAAAATAATTAAAATCAAGAAAGTGTTCTTAGTTGTACGTAAGGGGATGGTTGTAACACTTTTTTTTTTAAAATGTTAACAACCCACCTACCCCTGTCAGCTATTGTTTAGCTAGCTGTATTAACATTTTGGTTTGAAATGATCAGGGGAAAAATGCAACCACAATTTAATCAAAAATTGTCATGATTTTATCTGCCACAGTTTAAGTACTAAAACACATAGTCTTGGTCAAGAAATTTACTTTCTTACCTCAAAATCCATTGTTTCTTTCTCTACGAAATCAGCATATGGCTGTTTCCAGCCTTGACACCCACCATGTGGGATCGGGGAGGAAGTGGGTAAACACTGAATGGTCACATGACTCCAATCTTATCCTGGATTGCTGGAATTGGTGGTGTTACATCTCTCCCCAAGTTACAATCATACCCGGTCTCCCCCTAAAAAAAAATAAAGATTTTCAATTACTATTTTAAATACTTTTTAGCTAAAGTAATGGAATACACCCTGTGGTCCCCATTTTTTAAAATAGTGGCTAACACCCTTGTTTGTCTGTCCAGAGGTGTTTCACCAACCTCATTGATAACACATCAACCATGTCACCAAACAAGATCCACTGTTTTTTCAGACATGACACTTCCACCTACCCCTGCAGTCTACCCATCATGTAGGTCTCTCACCACCCACAAGGTGGCGATCAGGTGCTGTGCCATTTAGAATGAGCCAGAAGGACCCTTCAAAAAGTGATCATGTTTTTTTTTTAGAACCTTAAGATAGTGATTAGACATTTCTCATCCATTTTCAAACATGATTATTTCTCTCTGACTGTAAGTTTCTAAATTAAATATTAAAATTATGTAGTTGTATTTTGCACTTAGTTGTAGTGAAGAGGAGATTTGGGAAATAACCAACCAGAGAGCAGAGCTGTAAGAGAACTGCTGTAGAAGGAATGGAAGAATTCAACCAAAATAAGAAGTGAATTGCATTATGGGTTAGGATTAGGGTGAATTGCATTACGGGTTAGGATTATGGTGAATTGCATTGTGGTTTAGGATTAGGGTGAATTGCATTATGCATTATTACATAGTTATGTGTTAATAAAGCAGAATTTGCTTTAGCTGCATCTATCCTCAGTCTTGTATAATTTACAGCTATTGAAGGGTAACATTATTAGCACCCTAGTTTACCATCAGTGTGTGCAATTAAAAAGAGGTGAACAGTTCAAGTCCAGAAAGTACAAAATCCAGGTTTTGTTTCAACCAACCAGCTGATGTTTTAGTCAAGGTGGAGGGAATTATGAACAGTTCCAAATACCAGTCAATTTTGGCCCAAAACCTTTAGGTGTCTACTAGAAAGCTGAAGGTGAAGAGGAATTTCATCTTTCAGCACGACAATGACCCCAAGCACACATCCAAATCAACAAAAGAATGGCTTCACCAGAAGAAAATGAAATCTTTGGAATGGCCCAGCCAGAGCCCAGAGCTAAATCCAACTGAAATTCTGCGGGGTGACCTGAAGGGGGCAGTGCACAGGAGATGCCCTCACAGTCTGACAGATTTGGAGAGCTTTTGCAAGGAAGAGTGGGCAAATACTGGCAAGTCAAGATGTGGCATGCTGAAAGACTCCTACCCAAAAAGACAGAATGCTGTAATTAAATCAAAAGGTGCTTCAACAAAGTATTAGTTTATGGGTGTGCACACTTATGCAACAGCTTATTGTATATTTTTATTTCTTAGTCTGTTCAACATCTTCCAATTAAGCCGAGTGGTGGTGGGGTTCACCCTGGCATTTATTAGTTTAGAGTTTAGTGTATTGGGGTGGATTAGGAACTCAGTGTTATGCTTTAAATGATTAAGTTTATGGTTATACATGTTCATTATAATAATTAACACTTAAATGTAATATTGGTTTACAGATAAACCCAGCAATAGTTTATTGAAGAACACTTATATTAACACCTTTATATCGTAAAATTAGAAGTGCAATAAAAACAAAAACTGGATTAGCCCATATTTCCACTTTTGTTTGAATACAAATATCTTTGTCTGCCTCAAAAAATACAGATACGAATACTGCGCATTCTGCACATCCCTAGAATAGTAAAATAAGCATGTCGATGTGCTGTTTAGAGGGCTGCCTGTTGGCCTTAACATCATATATAGTATTGTGAAGAGGGTTAGGCAGTCAAAGAAAATGTTTAAATCTATTTATCTGGGTAGTGAGAGTATATTGGCTCAGAAAGAAACACACAATTTAACGTTAGAACATACACAAATTAACAGTAATACAATGAAAAATAAACAAGCATATTTTGTTGGATGGTTAGATAAAGACCCCTTCAGTTCCCTAACCTCTCCTTAGGGGCACCCCAGCCATTCCATGTATTCATTAAATTTCATCACTAGGTCAATTAATTAATTAACTGACTTGATTAGTTAAATACCTCAGATAGGTATTGATTAACCAAACAAGGTGAGGTATAGTCAAGTCAAAACAGTGGGGTGACTTTAGGAAAGCTTTGGAAATGGCTGCTGACATACTTTGACAGACATCATAGTCTGACACCAGCAGGAAGATCATATAAACATCATTTTCTTTGACTGCCTAAGACTTTTGCACTGTACTGTACATATATAGGTGGGATAAGTGTATGTAGTCTTGAATTCATATTTGATAAAAAAACAGGGTTGCCAACTTCGGTCAGCTGGCTGGAGTGAGATTTTCAATTGCACACACATGCACACACATTTACATGTATGTAACAGTTTTATTACCTTGTAAATAATCTGTAGGGTTTGCAAGATAACTCCAACACTTTTGATGTGGCTAATTTCTGCTTTATTATGGAATAATATAGATAATATAGATGAACGTGAGAGTCTAAAAGCGCAAGTGTTACGCCAGATGCGTGAGAGTTAGGCAGCTCTAGCTCGAATGACCTTTATCTGTCAAGTCCCTGTGCAGGTTTTCAGTATGACTGGCTGTGGCCTGGGCTCTGACTGTGGACTTCAGGACACCAGACTCCATGTTCCTCAGCCACTGAACAGTCACTTCTGTAGTGTGCCTTGTGATGAAAAACAAACTTCATTCTCCAGTTTGGTTTTCTTGCAGGTTTCTGTGTTGTTTAATAAAAAAGTAACAGTCCCACAAGTGTGTGCTGTCCCTCCTATACCTGTCCTATACCTTGGGAACCAACAGTTCTAGCTTTTTGTCTAAACAGCCTATATGGCTGAAGAGTCTCTGAAGTGTCCCTTTAGAGTGAGCCTCAGCACGGGTGTCATTCAATAGACATTTTGTAACTCTCCCGTAAGGAATACATTTCTCCTTTAGTTCTCACAGTGTTGACACGTATAACACTCTCTGCGTGGAGGTGGTCAGGCTCGACTGTGGTATTTGCACTTCTGAATGAGTGTCTTGATAGTCTTCCAAGAGATATTAAAAGCTTTAGTGTAATGTTACGCAACTCTCCTGTTCCCTTTCATCTTTATTCCGGAAAGATCTTCTGAAAGTTCCTTCCTGGTTTTGATATCTCTGCTCTGAGATTTTTCATCGTGTAAAGGAGGCTAACAGGAACAACTAGACGCTGTTAATTTGTGCTAATTACCAGTGGTCACATTGTAAAAATATTTCAAGGGGGTGGTGGGGGCCCTGGACTTTGGGGTCCCCAACGATAAACTCTGCACTTTTGGGATCCCCACAATAAATATTGCCGGCCCGCTTACCAGTCCAATGGGAAAATGCCTGGTACGGCAGATGGCCAGTCCAAGCATGGTGACAAGAAAATTCATCAAGCTGAGGGATGATCACATGGTCCAAATTAAACGTGTTTTGATCTGGAGTCAGCCTGTCGAGTGCCCCAGATATTTTAGTGATAGATTACGGTTTATTTACCAAGGCAAATACAATGTACAACTGAATTACAACTGAAATATGCTTTAAATAGATTTTTGAAATATCAGACTTTAAAAGCAAGAGAAGTTTTTCAGTAGTGTGTGTGTATTACTCATGGGTGCGCAGACTTTCGATACTCACTGTATACTTCTGATGATTTAACTTGACAATTTTTAAATTTTGGATTAATTTGATATGGATTTAAGAAATTGGTCATCGATACCAGTAACTTATATTTTATGTTAAAGCACCTTAATGGTTAACCCCTACCCAGGCCTAACCTTACCATGAGTAACCAAACAAAATATGTGACTTCTGGCATTTTTAGTTTTTTTGATTGCATTCACAGATCTTTGTGGGGACCTGAACAATGGTCCCCACAATGTCAAAATAACAGGTTTTTACTACATTGTGGGGGACCAAATGTCCCCCACAATGTAATATAAACATAATCCACACACACACTCAAGAATGATTAAAAACGTTTTGTTTAAAACATATCAAAACAGTTTAATAATGTTTATTAAATTTTTATAACTGCTGCAAGCTTTCTTTGGAAAAACAAGTTTATGCATGTTTCCAAGTTTCACATGGGTCATTTGTCTGTCGATCCTCTGTAGCCTATTTCTTAGTGAAGAAATCGTTGCACATCATGGTGATGCAGGCAACCAGAGTGACATACTCCTGGAAGTCCACTGTCCCATCTGCATTGGCGTCCAGGTCCTTAAATATCTTGTCCAATTTGGTCTTATCCTGTGATTTCTGTTTCAGAAATGAGAAAATAACAGGAGAATGGGGCACCCATCCGTACGGAAGATGTAAGATGTATTTGAATCATTAACTATTTATCGTTGATTAGCTTCTGCTCCCTGCAGCCATAGATGTGTTTTATCACTCATTACCATCAATAGCGTAGTGTGACTGGAGAATGGAACAATGTGCTCTTACCCCAAATATATCCCCCAGCTCATTGTCAAGGAGATCCTTCAGTTCACCCTTGCTGAGGGTTAACTTGTCGCCTTCCTTTCCAGAGTATTTGTGGAAGGTAGAAATGAGCAGGCACATGCCTGTCTGGAGATCAGTAGGCTTGTTACAGGTCATGGTGGCTACGGAGGGAGAAGAAAGACATGGAGTACCTGTTAAGCAGATGGTTAAAGGCGAGAGGCAGAGTCGCTGCTGTGCTTGATTCTCTTGAAATCCTTGAATGGCTGCATGGGCTTAAATGCCAGTGAAGAGGGTCTCCAAGGCTGCGATTTTGTTGCGTGACAGTATATACAAACATAAAATAGTATTTCAGCGATGTGATCTACACAAAGCCCTTCCTTAAATACAGATCCAGCACTAGTTAAAGAGGGAGGGTCATCATATAATCAGATGGTGACATAAGAACATAAGAACTATACAAACGAGAGGAGGCCATTCGGCCCATCGAGCTCGCTTGGGGAGAACTTAACTAATAGCTCAGAGT